TGTCCACAGTGTTTAATTGATCTACTAATTTAGTCACTGTGTTGAAGAATGAAATAAGATTGGTTTGGCATGATGTGTTTTTTATTGACACCCCTGTCCCTCATACTAAATTCTTGCTAAGCATTTTTACAAATTCTAGAAAGGGAAGTTCTAGAGAATTGCATGCTTTCTCCCATCTTGACAGGATCTCTGTGATGGAACAGATTATTTCAAGCAGGAGAGTCCAATCTCTGGTGTCTTCTGGAAGGCCTAGAAAGACACTTGAGATTTGACAGATTAGCTTTGATACTTTTCTTCAATAAGCAATATGGTAACTGCCCCCTCTCTTCCTGGTCTCTGCTGCAAAACAGGTTCAGAATTCGACTGATTTGACAGTTGATTGTCCCTTTAATAGAACTGTATCCTGAGCTACATGTGAAGGGAGAAAGCAAGTTTAAAAGACATGGGCCATTCCATGTGGCATGTATTCTCCTGGCAGCTATCTTACTTTGTTTAGTGCACGCACGGTTTCCTCCCTTCGGAAACTTTAAGATGCATGGACTTCAACTCCCAGAATTCTCCAGGAAGCATTTCATACCAGAGAATTCTAGGAGTTGAAGTCCACATATTTAAAGTCACTGAGGTTGGGAAACCCTAGCTTAATGGTAGGGCTTGCCCTAAATGCTGAAGGTCTGCTTGCTTGCTAAACATTTTAGAATTGGGCTAGGAACATTGGGAATTGGAATTCTGACATCTTTTAGAGCCTTAGATGAGTAATGTTAAACTTGATGGATATAAATTCAAAATTGAATCTTATCTTCACCAATTACAAACTGGGATCATGTCTCATCACCAAAGTTGGCTTTTTTCCTCATTTTTATTGCTCCCAAAGTATAACGTGTTGCCATTCACTGGTATATTTTCTTGCATGGTCAGTTCGCAATCTTGAAATCCTTGAATTTGGAAACAAGCAGATGGCTATAGCAGCTTCTGATAAGATTCACACATTGCATTGAGTCAAAATGTGATAAGTTTTTGTTATATATGAACTAGCCATATATAGCCATTGACTTGATATCAAGTGGGGACCCAACCATTGAGGCTTACTCCTCCCAAAATTTAAAATAAATCATAATTTAGCATGAAGCATCATTCTAAGTAGTGAATAGTACAAATTAGCATGTTAAAAATTAAAGCAAGGGGAAGAGCCATTGTACATCGCTCGCCTCTTTAAATTGCATTGCGATAAAGTGTCTTCCTCATGCTAAACTTTATGGTCCTAAATACCAAACTTGGAAGCAACCTATCCAAGTCTTGCACTTTGCATCATGTAGTGCATTTGTAAAGATGGTTCTTTTCCAGACCAGTCCCATGATTTTGGGGAAGGTCAAGCTGCTGTTTTCCAGTTCCCTCATTGTATCTGCTAAATATTCCATCTTTCTCTATGGCTCCAGGCGAAGGCAGAAACATGACGTTCCTCAAACTCAATGTGGGTGTTTGAATAAGGGCCTTCAGTGCTCCCCTTGCTGTTCAGGATCAAGCCGGGGTGAGGGGGGTCTTTCCTAAATCAATGCTCCATTCATCCACTTGGCGTCATAGCCAGGGTAAGAGGTGGGAGGGAGAGATGGAATGCAAAGGCTAAGTGTGCCAGGAGTTATGGAGGTGCCCTTTGGTTGGAGATCATGAGACAAAATGTGTTGCTAGTCAGTGTTGTTTGGGAAGAAGTTTTGCGCAAAATGCTTTGTTTCATTGTTGTCTTCTTTGCCTTGTTATGGTGGATGGCAAATTACCATTGGTTAAGAAGTAGTCCTCGACATACAACCATCCAAGATTGTTTTAAACTCTTATCTCTTTGCTCAGGTCTCTTCTCCCAATATTTGATAAGGTAATTTTCATTTGGAAACTGGTAACCATTCGCAGTTACGATGGTAATCAAAATGTAATGTTATGACCAGCGCTCAGATTTATAGCCTTTGCAGATCTGTAAGGCTAAAGGTCATAAGCACAGTCTTGGTTTTGTTTATTGACTGCTTTGCTTAATGACCAAATTGCCAGTCTCTGTTGTGATCACTGAACTACTGTGCGAAATTGATATTCTGATTGGTTGTATGGAAATACAGCTAGTCCTCAACTTACAACCACAACTGAGTGCGAAACTTTTGTTGCTAAGTGAGACATTTGTTAAGTAAACTTTGTTCCATTTTACGACCTTTCCTGTCATAATTGTTAAGTGAATCACTGCAGTTGTTAAATTAGTGACATGGTTGTTAAGTGAATCTGGCTTTCCCATTGACTTTGCTTGTCAGATGTTTGCAAAAGGTGCTCGCATGACCCCGGAACACTGCAACTGTCATAAATACGGGTCAGTTGCCAAGCATCTGAATTTTGATCATGTGACCATGGGGATGCTGCAGTAGTCATAAGTGTAAAAAACAGTCACAACTCACTTTATTCAATGGCCTTGTAACTGTGAACTAAATGAACTGTTGTAAGTTGAGGACTACCTGTACTGTAATTTTACAGGATTGTTTTAGCATATTTTATATTATACATTGGAGCTGTGTCATTGTTTGAGGGGTGGGCAAAGGCTGCTTTTGGTGTTAAGTGGCATCATGGGATGGAGGGGTCCAAAAATTGGGCAGGACAGATCAAAGTTTTGAGTTTTGCAAAAGTTTGATTTAAATATTAAATGTAATTTAAAATCCATAATTTGATACAATTAAATTACTTCCTATCTATTTAATACTTCTTTCACATTAAAATTCATGTTTTGATAGCTGTTCGGGAGAGGTCACATGCTGTACTCCCTTAACCGCTTAGGGATCCACTAATAATTAAAGATTTTTAAAAATGTAGGTATAATTCGCATCAATGGCATGCCTGTAAGCAGAAGTTGTGGTATTTTAAAATTATTGTAATTGCTGCCCGGTAGACCTTTAGGGTGTCAAATAATGCTTGCTCTCAACAAAATATGAATTATGCATGGAAATCAACAATAACAAAGACTATCATTGGTAACTGAGAAGAAGGAAGCTCAAAACGCCATTAAGCGTGAATCAAAACTGGCCTGAGAGAGTTAAAATCTCAGATATTTAAAAATGTGGAGGTTCTGGTGTTTAACAACAAAGGGGACAAGTAACCACAGAATTCTGCTGGCAGCAAAAGGGATGGAATTTCCCATCTTCAAGTCGATACTGTCTGGAAAGAGATGCCAGACACGAGCAGGTGGGTTTGATCCAAAAATAACTAGAGGGAATTAATGGCTGAGGGCCAAACAGAGGAATAACTTTTGTAGTTTCAATACTTCCATTTTGAGTTTCGGCTCCATTTAAAAGAAAAAGAAAAGATCAATGGAGCAGGCAAAAACTCATAGTAAATGTGTTAGATGGAGGAATGAATGAAAGGGTTTTAATGAAAGCAGGCTGGATTCTTTGTAAGCTTTTCTGCTTCTAAAAACTTTTAATTCTGCCCCCCCCCTCCTCTTTGAAATTTTGCTCTGACATAAAGTAAGGAAGGGAACAAAACAGGTTAATACAGATTTCAACATAAATTTAATTGATACCAGGGGGGTGGGGTTGATTCCTAAAGATTATGCTGTAAATATGAAGAAAATGATCCAGGACTCTAAATTGGGAGGAGGGGGTGGAATTGATACAGAGATTTATGGGGGTGCTAGTTTTGTGGGGTGGAAATAAAGACTTAGCAGGGCACAATATTTTTCCTATTCCGTGTTATGCTTAACAGAACTAAAAAAAACTTTACTGCTAACTAAAGTCGCCAAGAGCTTTGTTAATAAAATGTCCTGACAACAAAATATGTTAGCAAATCTGGCCTGCATATTTTCTACCAAAAAAAAATATATATCTACCAATATGAAGGACAGCATTATATTTATTTACTGAATATGCATATCTTTTGGATTTTTGGAAAATGGCTAATAAAAAAAAAATAACTAGAACAATGACTCATTTCTTTAAAAATAGGAATAATTTAACTTGTGGCTTTAAAAAACAGAAACAATAGAAACAAGAGTGCTGATATGCTCAGGAATCCAAATTCCATGTCATGCATTGGATTTTGGGTGGAATTCAGGATAACGAAATTCTAATTACAGATATCATAAGCCAGTTTTGTATTTAAGTATTATCTAGTTGCCATAGGTGACAAGAATTCTGGGCAGATCCAACGATCAGGCCGATGGAAAAAGGTTGTCTCCCATTTGTGGTCTGAAGTTAGCATAAAAGTTTCTGATTCATTACAGACATTCAGCAAGAAACCCTGAGCTTAAGACTTCCCTTCTCTCTGATCCCAGTTGGCCAATAAATTCTTTTGTAGATTTGGAACCTTCATTTACAAGGCTGTTATGAGAAGTGAGTTCGTATTTCCTGAAGTAGGCCACTCTGGCTTGTTTGATAAACCTGGATTAGGACAATATATTATTCTAGGCAGAGGCTCAGTTCACTTTTGTTAAGAGTTGGAAAAAGAAACTAGGAAGGAAAGGAAAGTCTGCAAAGAGGAGAGAGAGAGGTAAAGATTAAAGAACTGATCAAATATAAATTCACCAATTGATTGGTTAGGATTAGAATTGCATACAATAACAAGGTTGCGAGGGACCTTAGAAGTCTTCTAGTCTAACCCTCTGTTTGAGCAGGACATCTTATACCATTCTAGATACTGTAAATAGTTGTCCAATTGCTTGAAACCTCCAGTTTGGTAAATTTGATACCTTTTGAAAAGCTGAAGACATATGCTCTATCTTTCTCAAAAGCAGATTGTTTCAAATTGGGGGTCTTGTACTTGTGAGTTCCCTTTAAAGCAGTGTTTCTCAGCCTTGGCAATTTGAAGATGCTTGGACTTCAATTCCTAGAATTCCTCAATCAACATTGCTGGCTGAAGAATTCTGGGAGTTGAAGTCCATGCTTTCTAAAGTTGCCACTGAGAAACACTACTCTAAAGCATCACATTTATAACATAATGTTCTATTTTTTTGTTTGTTTGTTTGTTTGTTTGTTTTTTTGCAGATTAACATCAAATTCACCAGGGACCATGTCAGAAGGGGATCGACCAAAAAGTGGTCTGAGTTTAGCCAGCAGTACAGCCACCATCTCTTCAGTCTCCATGGGAACAAAGGTGATGACCTGGCATTGGTGGGAACCTGACAGATGAGACATAAAAATGAGTCACTTACCATTTTTCACCTATATTTGTTTTTTCTGAGTGTTGGGCTGTCATTCAGTCTTATTTTCAAAGAACTTCAAAGTAATTGGTTATCTTTTGGGTCAAACACTTGTGCTTTTTAAAAGAACAACACTAGAATCCTATTCCAAGAAAAAAAGAAAGCTAAAAAGTTGCATAACAACTACTAATCCTCAAATATTTACTCTTGTCCTTATATACCTGCATTAGCCACTGGTGGTATCTTAATGGTTTGAAAAGAAAATCTCAGCGTGTGACCTTTCGTTCCTTAGAAAGATAAAGCACTTTTCAAGGAATAAAGCCACAATATAACAGTCTCCTATGCACCTAGATAAAATTTTAATGGTTTAAAAATCTTATTTATTTATTTATTGTTTATTTATTGGTTCGATTTATATGCCGCCCTTCTCCGGAGACTCAGGGCGGCTTACAATGTGTTAAGCAATAGCCTTCATACTTTTGTATATACCTGCTTAGTAGGGCTTTCGGGGGCCCCAAGCGGTGTTTTTTTTTATTCAAAGTCAGCTTATTGCCCCCATAATCATTTTACCTACCTCGGAAGGATGGAAGGCTGAGTCAACCTTGAGCCTGGTGAGATTTGAACTCGCAATAATTGCAGGCAGTTGGCAGCTAAGTGCTACTTAACTGTACTTTAGTCCGCTGCACCACCAAGGCTCTTTAAACCTTATGATGCATTAATAACAATTAAAATGTCCATTGCTTACTATGAGAAACAGGAAGCATACTCTCTTTGGAGCTAAGCAACATTATACAAAGTACAGAAAAGGAATTAAAAGAAATAAGTAAAAAATAATGGAGGCAAGTAATGAAGGAAAACAAAGTAAGATACTGTTAAATCCATTTGTACCATTCACCGTATATTTTTTTATTTTTTATTTGATTTATATGCCACCCTTCTCCGGAGACTCAGGGTGGCTTACAATGCGTTAAGCAATAGCCTTCATACTTTTGTATATTTATACAAAGTCAGTTTATTGCCCCCACAATCTGGGTTCTCATTTTACCTACCTTTGAAAGGATGGAAGGCTGAGTCAACCTTGAGCCTGGTGAGATTTAAACTTGCAGTAATTGCAGGCAGCTGATGTTAATAACAGTGCTTTAGTCTGCTGCGCCACCAGGGCTCTTTCTGTCCTAGTTCAGACTATACTGACATCCATCAAGTCCATCAATTCTTTTGAGTCTTTGAAGTTCTCCTTTTGAGGATCTTATCAATTTCATCCAGACAAAACTTACTTTCTTCCACTTCCTTTTGATCCAGTCACTTTTTTTCTGCCACTAATGGTTGCAACTAATGGATCAACATTTGATCCAAAAAACAGACCTCATACCTATGGGGAAAACATCAGGAAGAGAAAAAAATGTTTTCTGATACAATTCTCATTTGTTCTTTGTATATGGCCAGCTTCCTTGATATTTCCTATAATGATTCACTTTTATGTTCTGTTCACATTCATTCATTTTCATTACAAGTTGTCCTCAACTTACGACCACAATTGAGTCCAAAATTCCTGAGTGAGAAATATGTTAAATGAGTTTTACGACTTTTCTTGCCGCATTTGTTAAGTGAATCACTGCAGTTGTTCAATTAACAACATGGTTAAGTGAATTTGGCTTCACTGAACCCATTGACTTTGCTTGTCAGAAGATGGCAAAAGGAGATCCCATGACCCTGGGACACTGCAGCCATCATAAATGTGAGTCAGTTGTCAAGCATATGATTCACATGACCACAGGGATGCTGCAACAGCCATAAGTGTGAAAAATGGTCATAACTCACTTTTTTCAGTGCCATTGTACCTTCTAAAAGTCACTAAATGAACTGTTGTAAGTTGAGGACTGCCTGTATTTCACTGACTCATTCATCCATTCCATTGATTTTACTATATTCCCATTGTTGCAATTTATGTTTGGATTTCTGTAACTGAGTGTATAGATCAGAGGTCTTCAAACTTGGCAGCTTTAAGACTTGTGGACTTCAATGCCCAGAATTCTCCAGCCAGCTATGCTATGCTGGCTGGAGAATTCTGGGAGTTGAAGTCCACAAGTCTTAAAGCTGCCAAGTTTGAAGACCTCTGGTATAGATGCACATTCTTTTCACTTCTTTTGGCAAGTATGTTCTTCATAAGAGACCACATACTGTCTTCTCAGGTCTTTTTCACCTGGCCCTCAAATACATTGTTAATGCATCCCTTTTCTCTTATTTCTAACTTTTAGATTTTAAATTCCTTGAGAGCAGCAGAAACACCTTTTTCGCCCTGTTATGGGCAAGAGAAAGAGACACGATTTTCTTAATAGAGGTTTTAGCAATAGCAATAGCACTTAGACTTATATACTGCTTTACAATGCTTTGCAGCTCTAAGTGGTTTTACAGAGTCAGCATATTGGCCCAACAATCTGGCTCCTCATTTTACCAACCTCGGAAGGATGGAAGGCTCAAGTTGTCAACCTTGAGCCTGGTGAAATTTGAACTGCTAAATTGCGGGCATCGGGCGGTCAACAGAAGTAGCCTGCAGTACTGCATTCTAACCACTGCGCCACCTGGGCTCATTTTAGGTTCAGTTCTTAGCTTTTCAACTAGGACTCTTGCTTTGAAACTCTGGAAAACTATGTTTAAGATCAGTAATGTCGAGCTAAACAGATGGATAGCTCAATAGAGAGTGTGCTGTTTATACAGTAAGTTGATTTTGCATTTATCCATTTGTTTCTCCATAGCCACACGTAGCCCGGCCAATCCGGAAAGTGCATACGTTTGGGAAGAGAGCAAACTCCATCAAGAGAGATCCTAACTCTCCTGTTATAATGCGTGGCTGGCTTTATAAGCAGGTAAACAGTTTCTGAGAAATGCAGGTTTCTTAGTTTGAGGGAGGATGGATCTTAAGGGAGATCTGTAGGAAAGAAACGGTGTTAATCAAAGTAGGCCAAACTCAGAAGGAGTCTGATAGGACCTTTTAAGACTTAAGCAATTTTTATTTTAAAGCCTTAAGCTTTCACAAAATCGATTACAGAGACTTCTTATGACCACAATTGAGCCCAAAATTTATGTTGCTAAGCGAGACAGTTGTTAAGTGAGTTCTGCTCCATTTTACTATCTTTCTCACTACAGTTGTTAAGTGGGTCATTGCAGTTGTTAAGTTAAGAACATGATTAATAAGTGAATCGGGCTTCCCCATTGACTTTGCTTGTCAGAAGGTCACAAAAAGGGATCACATCAGTGGTGAAATTTAAAATTTGCTACTACCGGTTCTGTGGGCGTGGCTTGGTGGGAGGGTAATGTGACTGGGTGGACATGGCCATTTTTTTTTTTTTTACTTTTAAAACCATTTTTTCTACAACCTCTTCGGCAAAGAGATTGTAAAAAAATGTTTTCAAAAGGCTCTGACGATCCCAGCTGAGTTGCCTGATCATCAGAGGCATTTAAAAGAAAAAAAGTCTCTGCCGATCAGGCAACTCAGCTGGGATCCTCAGAGCCTTTTGAAAGCATTTTTTTACAACCTCTTTGCTCTGAAGAGGTCGTAGAAAAAATGCTTTTAAAAGCCTTTGACGATCCCAGCTGAGCCGCGCGATCATCAGAGGCTTTTTTTTTTTTTTTTAAAGCATTTTTTCGGCCGAAGAGGATGTAGAAAAAATGCTTTTAAAAGTAAAAGAAAAGCCTCTGATGATTGTGCGGCTCAGCTTGGCGGGGGGGGGAGGGGCAGGGAGTTTTGCTACCGGTTCTCCGAACCACCCACCTCCATCGCTACCAGATCAGGCGATCTGGTCCGAACCGGGAGCATTTCACCCCTGGATCACATGACCCTGGGACACTGCAACTGTCATAAATATGAGCTAGTTGCCAAGTATCTGAATTTTGATCATGTGACCGTGGGAATGCTGCAACGGTTGTAAGCGTGAAAAAGAGTCATAAATCACTTTTTTCAGTGCCCTTGCAACTTCGAACAGTCACTAAATGAACTGTTTTAAGTCAAGAACCAACTATAAAACAATAGTTTCTGGACACTGGTATGTCTTATTCACACATTTTCCAAGGCATTCCCAGGACATTATCATTGTGTTAGATACAGCCCAAGAGCTTTAAACTTCACATGATTTTCCTTTGTGTTTTATTTGGATATAGTGTCATAATTTTTATTTTCCTGTCAGGCACTTCCCAACAGATATAGATAGTCCCAATGGTAATTGGGACTGGGAATTCCATCGCTAAGTGATACAGTTGTAAAAGATGACATCATGTGATTTATGATAGCAATTCCAGTTGTGGTCATCTTCCCTCATTGACTTTGCTTGTCAGAAGCTGGCAGTGAAGATCACAAATGACCATCACACGGGACACTGCAACCATCATAATCACAAGCCAGTTCCCAAGCATTTGGATCATGCTCATAACAACTCTTGTAACTTCAAATGTTTATTACAGGTAGTCTTCAACTAACAACAGTTCGCTTAGTGATCATTTCAAAGTTACAATAGCACTGAAAAAAGTGACATGACCATTTTTCACGCTTATGATCATTGCAGCATTCTCATGGTCACATGATCAAAATTCAGATACTTGGCAACTGTCTCACATTTATGACGGGTTCAGTGTCCCGGGATCATGCGATCTCTCCTTTTGCAAACCTTCTGACAAGCAAAGTCAATGGGGAAACCAGATTCACCATTTTACTAATTTAACAATTGCAGTGATTTACTTAACAAATGTGTCAAGAAATCGGGCAAAACTCGCTTAACAAATTTTTCACTCAGGAACATAAATTTTGGGCTCAATTGTGGGTGTAACTTGACAACTACCTGTATACGAATGGTTGTTAAGCCGAGGAGTACCTGTACTTTGCTGAAGTATGTTGTTTTCTTGTTTTCTTGAGTTCGGAAACATGCTAAAACTGTAGCTGGGTTTAACATCTTTTAAAAACCAAATAACTATTCACAATTCCCTTTTAAAACCCCAGAAAAAAAAAAAGGGAGGAAAATTCTGAGTACTAAATGAGTACTAAATGACCCTGACTCATGGGATATCATTGTACAACTGTAATGGATCTGGGCTCTACAAAGAGTTAAAACCAGGCAATCCTGTTCTACTGAGGTAAAACTTTGACACAGCTTTCAACTAACTAACCCACCATCTTTTCCTTTTGGTTCTTTTAGGATAGCTCTGGGCTCAAACTATGGAAACGGCGCTGGTTTGTCCTTTCCAATTACTGCCTCTTCTACTACCGAGGTAATTTGGATTTTCTTGAGTTTCTGTTTCAGTTTCCTTGAGATGGAAGAAAAGCATTTTGGAGGTAGGACTGTTTTGTAGATCAGGTATGGCGATGCATCAGCAGGCAGAGATCAAAGCAACATTCCCAAGTTCTGGGAACAGAAGTTTAAAAAAGAAATGAAGATAGTCCTTGGTTTATGACTGTTCGTTTAATGACGGTTTGAAGTTGAGGAACATTGCTGTAAGCGTAACCCAGTTCCTTGAAACAGTCATGTTGGTGGAAATTGGGGAGTTGTAACTTTCTGAGCAGGAGCCCTGAGAAGCACACACTGAAGTTTCTTTCTGTGGGGTTTTGCGGGGTGTATTCCAGATAGCCGTGAAGAGATGGTTTTGGGCAGTATCCTCCTCCCCAGCTATGAGATTCGGACAGCTTTCTCCAAGGAGAAGAAGAACCGTCGCTTTGTATTCAAGGTCAGGAGGAAGGACTTCATTTATGCTTTTGTCTCTACTGTGATGATGGAACTTTTCTTAAATGTCCATGGTCACCGTTTCCTTGAAACCACCCTAGAATCTGACCATTGCCTCAGCTTTAACAAGGCAATATCTATGTGTGGTGAATACTGAGCAGAGCATATCTTTCTCCTTCTGTCCTGGCCACTTTTTACAGAGGCGCGATGGAGAGCGTTTTAACAAACTGCATCCCTTTTGGTTTGGTAGTAGCAGTGCCTCAGTTAGAAAGTCCATACAGAGAGTGGTAAGGACAGCAGAGAAGATTATAGGAAGTTCGCTTCCTGTTATTCAAGATACTGCTTATAAAGCGCTATGTGCTTAGAGCTCAAAGCATTGTTAGAGAATCTACGCATCCACTTCATGGTCTGTTTCTGTTACTCCCCTCTGGGAGGAGGTTTCAAAATATCAGTAGCAGGACTACTGGATTCTGTAACAGCTTTGTTCCTTGTGCCATCCATCTTGTAAACTCGCAGGATTCTTTTTTTTCCCACCATGTATATGTATACATCCAAACTAGACTGATGTTTCTCTGCACCATATATATGTGTATGAGGGGATATGCATAATGGTTATCTTTTGAGAGCTGAATGCAATGAAATTTCATTTTAATGTATGCTGATTAGAGTATATTTAAAGTGATAATAGATTCTATTCCTATTCCTGTTCTGTTCTGTTCTGTTCCGTTCCGTTCCGTTCCGTTCCGTTCCGTTCCGTTCCGTTCCATTCCATTCTTACCCTACCCTACCCTACCCTACCCTACCCTACCCTACCCTACCCTACCCTACCCTACCCTACCCTACCTTACCTTACCCTATTCTATTCTATTCTATTCTATTCTATTCTATTCTATCTATTCTATTCTATTCTATTCTATTCTCTATTCTATTCTATTCTATTCTATTCTATTCTATTCCATTCCATTCTATTCCATTCCATTCCATTCCATTCTTACCCTACCCTACCCTACCCTACCCTACCCTACCCTACCCTACCTTATTCTATTCTATTCTATTCTATTCTATTCTATTCTATTCTATTCTATTCTATTCTATTCTATTCTATTCTATTTGCCTGTATTGTTGGCTCATTTATCTAATACAGGTAGTCTTCCACTTATGACTGGTTGCTTAATGACAATGCAAAATTATGACAGACTTTGTAAAAACTACTTAGGACCTATCCTTGAAGTTACAAATGCTGCCACCCCTTCCTCCCCCCAGTCAACTGATTGCATTTTGGGTAGTTGGCAGCTGGCTCACGTTTTCCAGCAGAAAATGGCAAAAGCCACCCATTGCATACGCTGAATTTGGTTAACAACCATGGGTTTCGCCTAAGGACCATGCCTTTTGCTTAACAACTGTGATGACTCGCTTTACGAATCATCATAAAAATGGTCATAAAATCAAGCCAAGTCATTTGGTGACCTATTTAATGACCAGAATGACTTATAAGCAAAATTCCAGATTCAGTTGTAGTTGTAAGTTGAGAACAACCTCTATGATATATTGATTTAGAATCTTTGAGCCTGCTTTTTTCTCATCAAGGAATTCAAGGGCACGTGTGTTTCCAGCTTCTAGAAAGAAGCTTCACTTCAGTTAGTTTAAAACTAGGATTTCTTGCTCTGCCTGGTAGCAGTTGATTTACAGAGACTTTCAAACAAAACACAGAATAATAGGGTTGGCAGGGACCTTGGAGATCTCCTAGTCCAATTCCCTGCTCAATACCATGAGATGCATAGATTGGAAGATATAGAAATGGTACAAAATCTAATTCGGGACCTATTTTTGGGGGGGAAGGGTGTCTCTGAGTTAGCGTTGACTCCTAGTGACTGCCAGGACAAATCCCTGCAGCATTCTTGGCAAGGTTTTAGAAATGCTTACAAAAGCTCCTATCCTTCCTTTAGGGCAGGGATCACCAACCTTTCAGACCTCAGGGACCACTAAATTCATAATTTTAAATCCCGCGGACCACTAATATGATCTACCTAATGACCGTCTGGGTGGGCGTGGCTAGATGGGCATGTGACTGAGTGGGCATGGCCAACTTGATGTCACTCGTGTTGAGGGGCGCCTTGCCAGCCCCTACCCACCCCTCGCCTCCCAGCCACTCCTCGCCTGCCCGCCCAGGAGGGCCCCAACAGGAAGCAGTTGTTGGAGCTAAGCAGCCACCATGAGAAAGAGTTGGCAAAACAGCTCAGTTCATATTGGATCTGGCTGAGAAGGAGGCTCAGCAGAAGCACCTCATTGAGGACTACGAGCATAGGCTTTCCAAGCAGAGGGAAGACCTCTGGGAGTGCAAGGCCAGGTACCGGCACCTGCAAGCTCAGCGGGCTGAGATGGTCAGCCAGTTCCAGGCCATGATGCAATCCCACTGGAACAAGGCTCTCTGGCTCTCTGGCTCTTTGCCACCAGCGGCACTTCCTTCAAAGCCCCACACCAGGAGGCCGAAGCAGACCCCGAGTTGGAATTTCTGTCCCCCTCCAACCCGCACAAAAAGACCCTGAAGCGTGAGGCTCTCTGCAGCAACACAAATATTCATTGCACATATCCAGCCCAGGGGCCATAGTTTAAAGACCCCTGATTTAGTGCAAGATATAAAATGAAAATAATTTTTCTGTGGACCACCAAAATTTTCTCGCGGACCACCAGTGGTCCACGGACCACCAGTTGGTGACCGCTGCTTTAGGGCAGCAAAACCACCACATTGGATGGCAGACGGGCAGTCCAAGCCCATTCATTGTCCTTCACTGGATCTCAGGCTACCCAGAATGCTTTGCCACTATATTTCTCTAGTTTTTTCTAACGGGTGACTTCAGAAGGATGGATTGTGAAATAGCCATGTGGTGTCTCCTTGCTAAGGCAGTCTTGCAACCATCCTACAGAACAATGTTTTTTCAGCCTTGGCAGCTTAAAGATGCGTGGACTTCAAATCCCAGAATTCCCCAGCTAGCCATGCTAAGGAATTTTGGGAGTCGAAGTCCAGATACCTTCAAGCTTCCGAGGTTGAGAAATACTGCTGCAGAGTTATCTTGGAGCACTCCACAAAAAGAACTGAGCAAAAGCCCAACCACTATAAAGCAGAGTAACATTATTTGTCAGGAGTAGTATAGGAAACCAACAATTCGCACTCTTCCTTTTTCTGCTGGTGTTCTAAGTGTATCTTCTGCCCTCTTCAGGAGGCTCCAGCCATTACAAGGAATTTCTTTCCCTTTGCTTTTTCCCCATAGGCTGAACACCCTGGCATGCGGACTTACTATTTCAGTGCAGACACCCAGTTGGATATGAATAGCTGGATCAGGGCCATGAACCAGTCAGCTGCTGCTGAGTGCAACTGTGGAAACCTGTAAGGGCTGGGTATGGGGACAGGCACACAACCCTGTTGTTGATGCATGGCCAATTTTGTGTAGTCAGATGTCTAAGGAGTTGGGGAATAATGTATTGTAGAAAGTTCCAGAAAGAATAATCTCTTGGAAAGAGGGTGAATACTATTTAAGTAAGAATTGGTCAGGAGAAAAAGGATAGTGGAAGATCAGAAGAACTGAATTTTCTGAAAAGAAAACCTGCATGTGTAAGTATCCTTGTGGAAGAACTGGGAAAGATCTTGGTGGAGTCAGTTGGACAGAGCAGCATTTCATGGAAGAGGAAGGAACCAGATTTTGCACTGGGAATAACGGCCAGTGTTAATGAAATCTGGAACAGTCACTTGGATTTATTGGTCTAGTGGTTAAGGTGCAAGACTAGAAACTAGGAGTCTGTGAATTCTAGTTCTACCTTAGGCATGCTGGGTGACTTTGGGGCAATCACCAGGAGACTGCGAGTTCTAGTCCCGCCTTAGGCATGAAAACAAGCTAGTCTGTGAGTTCTAGTTCTGCTTTAGGCATGAAAACCAACTGCATGTGACTTTGGGTCAAATACCGGGAGACTGTGAGTTCTAGTCCTGCCTTAGGCATGAAAATTGGCTGGGTGACTTTGGGCCAGCCACTCACTCTCAGCCTAACACATCTCACAGGGTTTTTATTGTGAAGAAAATAGGAGAAGGAAGGTGCATGGAATATGTTCGGCACTTTGAGTTATTTGTAAAAACAATAAAGGTGGGTTACAAAATAAATAATTAAAATTTAAAAATTCCCCTTCTGCTCCATCTCAGCAACCAAGGGGGTCTCCACAGCCAGTCAGTGTCTGCCCACACCAGCTTTGAGGACATCCGGCTTCCCCAGGGTGATTGTGCCAAAAGCACTGAGTCACTAGAAGTTGCCCATCTCTCAGAGATCCAGGAGGCCCGGGCCTCCTCGTCCGAGAGCCTCCACCTGCCTGACATCCAGACAGGATCTCCTTGCCTTAAGAGGGCTTCTTTATCCAGTTCGCTCAATGGGAGCTACTGCCGTGAAAAGAAAGAACAGCCAGAATTGAGGTAAGGAGAAGCAAAACCAATTTCACCGCTGTGGATGCTGTACAGCATGGGTGTCAAACTCGCTGCGTCACATTGCTATCATGTGACGTTTTGCAATGTTTTCCCCATTTGCAGAGCTTGTGGCGTGGCCTGCACGTGACGCATCCGGCTCGTGGGCCACTAGTTTGACACCCCTGCTGTAGAGGACGGATGTCCAACTTTGGTAACTTTAAGATCTGAGGACTTCAATTCCCAGAATTTCTCAGCCAGCATGGCTGGATGGGGAATTCTGGGAGTTGAAGTCCACAAGTCTTATTAAAGTTGCCAAGATTGGACACCTCTACTTTAAAGAATGGGAAGGATGTAGTAGCAGATGGCTGTACAGACTTTGGTTGTTGGAAGAGGGCTTAAGGATCACCATGACTGACTTTATCTTCCCCTTCATCTTCTCTTGGCAGCTCCCTGTCGTCCCAGACCCATGGATGTCCCTCTCCTATTAGTTGCACTAAGTTCTCTGCCCGGCCACGGACCCCACTACCGTCTTCGTCTGAGAGTCCACCTCCTTCTTCTCCATCTCAGATATCTCAGCCTTCCCCTGTGTTTTCACTGCGTTCCTCCCGCGCTTATTCCCTCCCAGTAGCCCCAGCTGGGTCCCCAAAGTTGCCACAGGCTCACCTGCCGAACATGCATGATGCCCATCGGAGCCCTCATGATGCCCATCGGAGCCCTCCGCGATCTGTAGTTGCACAGGCTGCCTCCTGTGATGATCTCTCTATCATGAGCTCTCCAAGGACTCTGCATGCCAACATTCCCATGGGGAGGGTGGACATTGCCCCCAACAAAGGCCTTCCCAATAACCCTTATGCTGTTGCATCATCGGCCCACAAAGGCCACTCTCTGACCCCTGCAGACCGGTATGATGTGTTCCCTACTTCTGAAGATTCCTATACCAGGCGATACATTCAAAGTCCTCACCTCCATAGAGTCCGGCCGGTGGGTGAAGATGGCTTAGTCCCCTCAGTAGGGAGACCGCAACAAAACAGAGTAAGTGGAAATGTTGGCTTCAGTAAGCACAACAAGCTCATTGGAATATCGTTCTTCCTGAGTTTAAACTAATCATGATCCTCCTGGACTTCTGGAGATGCAATTGTAGGAGATGACCAGGCTGAGCCCTCAAGGGAGGGGTCAAGCATGTCATCAGTCTTAACATCCCTTTGTGCCCACAAGAAATCCAGTCCACTTTGAATTCCATTGACTCTTATCTACCGCCAATTTCGCTTTGAGCATTAGTAGTTCAGATTTTTGTACAGTTCCCCAACCTTTTCGGCTTTGTGGACCCGGGGGGAAGGGAAGAGGGGATGATTTTGCGCAAGTGGTAGGCAGGCACGTGCATGGGCAGCTTCATTTGTGCGAGCAGCAGGCATGCACACCTGCTGCTCACACAAATGGAGCACACCAGTACACGCTTGCCCGCTGTTTGCGCAAGTGGGGATGCATCCACTCACATGTCACTTCTGTGGCCCAGTGCCAAATGGCTCAAGGCCTGGAGGTGGCCCTTGGCCCGGCGGGTTGGGGACCTCCGTTGTAGAGAGCATGCAAAAAACCTGTATTCATTTGAACAGCCTTGGCTCCTGATTTCCTAGGCTTGGTAGTGATTTTGCCATCACCCATAGGGGGTAGTCTGGTGATTATGAATAATTTTTCCAATAGTTGCATTGCATGAGATATATTCTGGTTATTTTTTGTGTTTCTACTGCTGGTTCAGTTTGTTTGTATGTTTATTTTATTGATTCATTTTTGTGTTTTGATGCTATTTTAAGATAAGCGGAGGCCTGTACAAATCAAGTAAGCAAATAAATTAAATTTGGTCTGTAATCTGAATTTGAATCTCTCATGAATTTCTCTCTGTTTTTGCAAGTTTACAGACCGAGGTTACTTCTCTCCATCAGTTGGCCCATCCCGTGCTTTGGTCATGTCCCGGCTTCATGGCCGACTGGTGAGTATCGGAGAGGCAGAAATGGGTAATATTTTTCCTTTTCCTGTTCAGTAGGCTATGCTCCCTCACATCTCTTATTAGCCTTACAAAATCTAGATATTCTGGTCTGGAGTATCACATTTACAGCAGGTGTGGGTTCTGCTTACCTTTACTACCGGTTCGCAACGGGGCCATGCGCTTGCTTGCTTCGCTCGTATGCACACTCTTCTGCGCATGTGCAGAAACGTTCTGATGACATCGGGTCAGTGGGCGGAGCTTCCCGCCGGTTTTACTACCAGTTCTATCGAACTGATGCGAACTGGGGGCAACCCACCACTGATTTACAGACAGAATATGTCCTCCACATTCATCATGACTAGGATTGTGTGTGGCTACCTGTATTTTTTTGTGAAAATATTGAAATCTGTGGCTAAATACAGGTAGTCCTCAACGTACAACAGTTCATTTAGTGACCGTTTCAGAGTTAAAACGGCACTGAAAAAAAGTGACTTATGACCATTGCAGCATCCCCATTGTTACGGGATTTACATTCAGATGCTTGACAACTGACTCACATTTATGACGGTTGCAATGTTCCAGAGTCATGTGATCCCTTTTTGTGACCTTCTGACAAGCAAAGTCAATGGGGAAGCCAAATTCACTTAACAACCATGATACTAATTTAAGAACTCCAGTGATTTGCTTAACAAATGTAGCGAGGAAAGTTGTAAAATGGGGCAAAACTCACTTAACAAATTTCTCACTTAGCAATATAAATTTTAGACTCAGTAGTGGTCATAAGTTGAGGACTACCTGTAATTCTGAATCAGCAAAAGCTGAGTTCTGCAGCCCAATTACATAATTGATATAAATTATGCCAATAAAGCATAATCCTCAACTTATAACCAATTGCTTAGCAACCATTGGATGTTACAGTGGAACTTCCTGGGGGGTACCTGATTCCAAGGTTCCAATAGTCACCTCCCCCCAGGTCACAGTACCACATGTCGGGCACTTGGCAACCAACCCACATTTATGGCTATTTGCAGCATCCTGTGATCACGTGGCTGCATTTTAAAATGTTTTTTTTTTCTAGAAATTGGCCTTTACTTATAGTGAACAATGAGTTTGCTTAACAGCTGCTCCGTTTCTTTATGATCACTGTGTTTGCTTAATGACCACTGCCAAGTAAAATTGTGTCTGGTCATGACCTGCTTTACGACACAATTTACAATCGTAATTGCCAGGCTGAAGGCTACCTCTAGCGACGTTGATTATCTTGCAGAAAGCTGATCCTTGTCCTCAACCGTTTTTGAAATTTCCACGTTTGTGTTCAATAATTCTTTTGTGATCATTAGAGCTAGAAATCTGCTTCCTGTCTAGAATGAAAGCTCAAGAGTTTTCGGAAAAGTGCTTTGTGTCTAATACACACTCAGTTTTTTTCTGCATTCCCATGGAATTATGTTATAAAACACAGACTTGGTCCTACCCTTTCTTGGCTATATTCCTTAATATTGCCTTCCCTTTTCCTACAGATAACCCCCCACTCTGCCTCATCAAGCTACCTGCACCTACCACCCCTTCCTCCCCTGTCCACCCGGCCCACCCCAGGGAAAAGGACATCTATAGGGATCACGGTATGTAGATTTGTACTCGGTTGCTTCTCTGTTACTCAGCCAACAACCCCACCATCCCAGGCAATATTAAGTCAAATAATCAACTAGATAACTGCATGGAATGTCTAATTGTTATATTTATAGACTCTTTTCTACCATTGTTCAGAGTAACATGAACCAATCGGTACCTGGAACATTTATTCCTGGTTGCACAGTAGATATTTGGGCAGGGATGTGAACCACTAGATACAAAATGGTTTGGGAGAACTATAAGTATCCAAATATAATGGTATATGGTGATAGGCAACTTACTACCCGCTGTGTTATCCTACTTTCCACATATAATATAGGCTGGCACTGCTTCTGTTTCCTCATGACCTTTAGTAGAGTCCTGCTGACGCTTCCTCCTCCTCCTCCTCCTCCTCCTCCTCCTCCCCCCCCCCCCCTCCCCCCCCCCCTCCTCCTCCTCCTCCTCCTCCTCCCATGGAACTGCTTGCCACTGTGCTGGGGATAGGGGGAACCAAAGGATCTGTGGGGTCCCTCCAGTGGTGAAATCCAGTTTTTTTTACTATCGGTTCTGTGGCTGTGGCTTGGTGGGCGTGGTGTGGCTTGGTGGGTGTGGCAGGGGAAGGATACTACAAAATCCCCATTCCTACCCCACTTGGGGGTCAGCCAGAGGTGGTATTTGCCGATTCTCTGAACTGCTCAAAATTTCCGCTACCGGTTCTCCAGAACCTGTCAGAACCTGCTGGATTTCACCCCTGGGTCTCTCCCTACAGGGAGAATCACCTGTCAGTCTCCAGCAACCCCCAGCCAGCCCTACTTTGCCAGAAGACATCTAAGGCACATCCTCATCCATTCCTCGCTGCCCGCTGCTGTTAAGAAATTTCAGATTTTGGCCTTGGTTTCAAAGCAGTCAATTGCTGCTCAGCCAATGGGCCTTGCTGCCAGCCAGTTGGATGCAGCAGAGGCCAGAGGGAGGTGGGACAAAGGGCTGTTTCTGGGAAGTGTTAATAAGAATGACAGTCATGTGACTGTGGCGCATTGCGGCAGTGCAGTAGCTGGTGGCACTGAAACTTGTCACAATTTTGCCAAATTTCATGGGAGTCAGGGTTCCTGGATTTTGGTCACGTTCTTTAAGTTAGCCTATCTGAGATAGGTTGATTCAAAAACCGTTTCCCGATGATGCAACGTTTTGCCCAGTTGAAGGTTACAAAAACAGACACAAGAATTTTAGTAATACATAGATAAGTACAGATAGTGCTTCACTTACAATCTTTTGTTTAGCAACCATTCAAAGTTAACAACAGGACTGAAAAAAGTGACTTACTACCAGTCCTCACATGGCCATGCGGTCAAAATTCAGGCAACTTGCATATATTTATGATGGCTGCAGCTTTATGGAATTATGTGATTGCCATTTCCAATCTTGAATGCCCCATTGGAATATTGTATTGCTGTTGAGGTAATATACACAGTAGCTTAGCAAGATTTTGGCTAAATCCTGTTTGACGGAATCACTTTTACTCAATTAATTTTATCAAGAGCCACCATTTGGATTTTAAACAATTTCTTTTGGGCTCCTTTTTTTTTTTGAGATACGGTAATATGTCATAATATGTCAGAATCCTCCATGATAATCAACATCTCCCCACGTGTGAAAATCTAGTCCCTTAAACTAATGTTTTGCCTCGTTTTCTCCCTGACCAGCTAGGTTTCTTTATGCAAGGGTTGCATAAATACTAATAGAAACTTTGTTAGATCCAGGTTTGGGGAAAGATCTTGAGCAGGGGTGTCAAGCTCGATTTCGTTGAGGGCCGCATCTGGGTTGTGTTTGACCTCGAGGGGCCAGGGTGGGTGTGGCCAGCTCGATATCACTTGTGTTGGGGGCACCTGTGGCAGCCCAAGGGCTCTGCCAGAGAAAATGGGCTCCATTTTCGGCTTAGACAGCTTCCTGCAATCGTCTGCCAGTGAAAACGGAGCTTGGGAGGGCCGCACATGACCATGTGAGAATTGGTAGTTTAACACCCCTGCTCTTCAGCATATGCATGGTGTTCAAGCCACCATCTGCCATCTCTTCCCCGTTCTATTTATGGGGTGGAAACATGGATGCTTTTTGCTGTCTTTCCAGGGTCGAAACGCACTGCGGGAAAGAAGCAGCCATTCTCCTGGCAGGCAGCAGTTTGAAAGTGACACTGATGTATGCATTTCTCTTTTCTTACCAATGGATGATGTGTATGGTTTTGCTTTGCCAATTTCCCTTACAGATAGTCCTCGACTTACAACAGTTCCTTTAGCGATCACTCAAAAGTTACAACGGCACTGAAAAAAGTGACCTACGACCGTTTTTCACACTTAACGACTGTTGCAACACCCCCATGGTCACATGATGAAAATTCAAATGTTTGGCAACTGACTCATAATTATGACAGTTGTCAGCGATCACCTTTTGTGACCTTCTGACAAGCAAAGTCAATGGGGAAACTAGATTCATTTAACAACTGTTGCAAGAAAGGTGGTAAGAGCAAAATTCATTGAACTTAACTTCAACAGAAATTTTGGGCTCAATTATGGTCGTAACTTGAGGACTGCCTGTATTTATTTACCTATCCCTGAAAGAGGTCATTCTTCCACCTCTTCCTAGAGTCTTTATCATCAAGCTGAGATCTGAGAATGGCACAAATAGTGTTGGAAAAGTAAACTGGATAAAACCAAACTATTCGAAATGCAGTGGCAATAAAAAAGCACCATTTGAGAAAGAAAAGAAAGAAAGAAAATGTTAAAGGTCAATTGTAAAATGTAGATGAAGAACTATGTTCCACTGTTGGCCTAAGAACAAGAAGAAAGATGATTAGGCAGATTTCTCCAGGACCCCAATTGCATAAATCTGCTGCCCCCACAGGAAAGATTCCATCCAAGTCTAGAAGATTATTTTAGTTAGTCTAAGTTAAATAATTTTACCTTGGGCCTACTGCTTCTTTGAAAGAGGTTGTGGTTAAAGCGTCAGGCTGGAAAATGGGAGACCCTGAATTCTTTTAATGCCTTGGGTACAAAGTCACCTGGCTGATTTTGGGCCAGTCATTCTCTCTCAACCCTAGAAAAGAGGCAATGGCAATCCACTTCCAAAATACCTTCCCAAAAAACTTGCAGGGACTAGTCTAGGCAGTCCCCAAGAGTCAAAACTGATTTGAAGGCACACTATCATTCTCACTTAGTAGAAGAGGCATTTTTAAAAAATTATTCTAGCACTTTAATCACTGGATCAAACTGTGTCATTTGGCCACATGTTTCTGTCTTTTGATCTTGGGGCTCTGGGTTCAGAACTATAGTTTGGCTCTTATACTATCTCTGGTAGCCCTCTAATCCAGTGCTTCCCAAACTTTTTCCTTCATTACCCAAACACGCTTATCAGAAAGCCCTTTCACTTTATCAGAAAATCCTTATTTAAATGTCTCTGCTGTGATCGAGTATGTATGTATGCATGTCAGTGGTGGGTTCTAACTGGCTTTACTACCAGTTCTCTTCGTGCATGCGCTTCACTCCACACAAGCGCAGTGGGAATTTGCCCAGCTGAGATGCAGCAATCCACTCTGACGCCCAATCAGGTGGGCTAAAAAAGAAGAAATAAAAGATATGAATAATGCGGGGGCAGGCGGGAGGGCCCAGCTCCTGGAAAAAGAGAACTGGTTTGATGATGTCATATCATCACCGCTACCGGCTCGGCCAAACCGGGCTGAACCGGGAGGAACCCACCACTGATGCATGTATATATTAGATTTATGTATATAGCCACCCACTCACTCTTACTGACTCTGGGCTGTTACAAAAAATGAAAAACCCAATATAAAAGAATAAAGAACAGTACACCTTCCCCCCACCGCGACAACGCACAGTCAAATGAGCTATTTGACGGGCTCCATCCCACTCTGGAGTAATAGGTTTCTATATTGTTACCCCCCCCAACTCCCCTCCCCTTTTACCCAATTTTGGATAACTTGTTCAGGTTTGGATAATGAGCCGCGGTGGCGCAGTGGTTAGAATGCAGTACTGCAGGCTACTTCTGCTGACTGCCAGCTGCCTGCAGTTTGGCAGTTCAAATCTCACCAGGCTCAAGGTTGACTCAGCCTTCCATCCTTCCGAGGTCAGTAAATGAGGACCCAGATTGTTGGGGGAAATATGCTGACTCTGTAAACTGCTTAGAGAGGGCTGTAAAGCACTGTGAAGCGGTATATAAATCTAAGTGCTACTGCACTTCTCCAATCAGTTTTCTACTCCCTAGAGCCAGACAATAGGTTCTCTTGCATTGTATGGATAAAGGGTAGCTCATTGGGACTGAGGGTACTTATGTCCATGCCATACTTTTATCAGCAGCGAAAGCTTTACACAATATAAAGATCTGTTTGTAGTAACTGGTCAAGCAGCTGGCAGAAGCATCTGATTAATTTGGAACCTTTCAGTGAATTAAATTCAAAGGTTGATAAATTGAATTTTGAAACCATGAAACTTTTATCATCATAAAGCAAAGATTTCTTCCACGAGTACTAAAAGTCTCTCATTAGCCTTCTCCGGATGAGTTGGGGCTGTAACTTCCAGTACTCCCACCTAGGATGTCCAAAAATGTTGGAAGTTGCAGTCCTCATCATGAAAAGCCCAAATGTTCTTTCAAAGAAAATTGACTTGTAAACTAAGCCCTTTAAAACCAGGTGCCTGCGCGCCACCACACCTTCTAATCGGAGAGCTTTAGTTGGAATCAGTACATTTTTTCCCTGTGTTTTCAGGCTCTCTTGACAAAATTGTGTGGCCAAGACAAGATCCTTCGAGGTCTGGAAGAAGAGACAGGGCAGCTCCGTATTGAAAAGGTATGCAGTTCCACTTCCATTGAACAAATGAGCATTTGCTTAGCTCTGTTATGTTTGAGAATATTGTGTTTGGTTAATCATTCTGGAATCTTCCCCTCTTTTTGCTATGGTGGGGAAAAGATTTGCAAGGTACACGTCACCTTTGGGATATAAGGGGGAAAGATCCAGATTAGCCTAAATGAAACTGGCAATTCATGGCTTCCTTGCCATGGGAAAAACAGGATCTTGCTACATAGAAGAAAGTTTGTCATGGATCAGTGTATTCATTGATTTATAAATCACAATTTCTTAACTGCCCTGTAGCCAAATCTCTGTGGGCAGTTTACAATAACACACACACAGACAGAGACAGAGATAGAAATAGAGAGAGAGACATTGAGCTGAAACGTACAGGCTGTAGCAAAAGTCAGGCCCCGTTGATCAAGCACAATATGTTTTATTTATTTTACTCACAATATGTTTTATTCATTTTATTCATAATATGTTTTAATTAATTAGTGAGTTGGACTAGAAGACCTTCAAGGTCCCTTCCAACTTTGCTATTCTGTTATTCTGATTTTTTAATGTATCCTTACATTAAAGTTGCAGCTAGTACTTCTGGATGTACTTCTTGTCTGGGCTACCTTGCAAGGCTGACATTCCTTAATGGTCCTTGTTACATTTCTTTTATAAAATAGAGTTACCAGAACTGAACACCTAGTGGATTACTAAAGATGTTTGGCCTTACCTTATTCCCTGTAGCCAGAGTTGTGTCAATTCAGGAACAGAACCTCTCTGTCTGTCTGCACTTTTCTTCTTTACCTGTCAAGGTCTTCAGTGAGAAAGCTGATGGAGCAATGCCATCACCAGAAGAGAGAGCTAATTTGCCTCTTTTTAAATGTTTTCGTCATCAGTTTTGGGAGGTAGTCCAGACAAAAACTGCTATCTTTATTGTAAAATAAAGCCTTGGTAGTATAGTGGTCTAAAGCACCCTGTTATTAAGACCAGCTGCCTGCAATTACTGCAGGTTTGAATCTCGCCAGGCTCAAGGTTGACTCAGCCTTCCATCCTTTCTAAGGTAGGTAAATTGAGGACCCAGTTGTGGGGGCAATAAACTGACTTTGTATAAATATACAAAAGGATGAAGGCTATTGCTGAGCACATTGTAAGCTGCCCTGAGTCTCCGGAGAAGGGCGGCATATAAATCAAATTAAAAAAAAAAAAATGACATCAACAGAACCTTGAAAATCTAAAGGCACATCTCTTCCTCCTAACTTTACAGTGTAAGAAACTAGGGAGGATCCTTTCTGAGATGCTTGCCATGCCCCTCCCCCCATTCCTTCTGTGGAATAAATTTCCCACTTGTTTTACCTTTGTCTAGCTAGTCTGTGGCTCTTCCTCTTGTCTCCCAAGATCATGTTCACATATATTATATCGCCTTATATTCCGGGGGTGGGTTCTACTTACCTTTACTATTGGTTCGCAACGGAGCTGCATGCACCCTCTTCTGCGCATGTGCAGCGTTCTGATGACGTCGGGGTCGGTGGGCGGTTCTACAGAACCGGTGCGAACCAGGGGCAACCCACCACTGTTATATTCCACCTCAAATTGATCAGAAGACCTGTTGTCATGTGATTATTTGCTACCAAATATCAGCTGCAAGGTTTCCTCCAGGGGTGAGTTCTACTTACCTTTACTACCGGTTTGCAACCGGAGTGCATGTGCGTGCTTCTGCACATGCGCAGATTGTCAATTTTGATGTGTGGGTGGGCGGAGCCTCCCACTGCTTTTACTACTGATTCTAAAGAACCGGACAGAACCGGGAGGAACCCACCACTGGTTTCCTCCCTATGCTATGTAGTCTGTAATACGGTACATTTCTGTGATTCTGCAAAATGCCTTGAAAAAAACGTCGTTTTGTTGATTTGTCAAACTGCAATGAAGGAAAATCTGTGCTGGATGGACAGTTCTTGAAATGGATGTGATATTGTTTCAGGAACGTCTTGAAAAGGCCTTGGAAGTAACACACTTGAGGCTGGAGGAGTTTAAAGGCCAAGATGCCACCATGGAGAAGATCTGCTACCAACAAAGACAACTACAAGATGAACTGGTACATATCCGTGCCCGTCTCTGCGATCTTGCGTTGGTGAGTGGTTGCAGCTCCCTGATACTTGAGTGAAAATATTTTCTGAAGAAACACCCTAACTAGATCTGCACATAGATCAATTGGTAGCTGCCTATCAGGTCAGGTCTGATCATCCACTGGTGGTATGAATAGGAAAAAAGAAAGAAATACTGTCTTTCCCAGCCTGGAGACATCCAAATGCACTGAGCGTTCTGCATAGGATCTTAGCTGTTCCTAGCATTGCACTGTTCTGGACAGAGAGCTCTGAAGTTGCTCCTGGGATCTGTTGGAGCCACTCTCCCAACTCAGAGTGCTCCTACCATCCCTGGGAGCTCTTCAGCCTTTATTTCCATATCCTCTCTAATTCCTCCTTCAAGCCCTGGTGCTCCTCCTCCTTCCTGGTGTCTCTGTCACTTGGTATACACCACATCTATCGTCACCCCTGTCTTCTGGCCCTACCACAATGTCTGGTTGATTGCCCAGTACCTGCCTGTCTGTCGATCTGAAAATCCCACAGGATCGTAATCCTCTTATTCTCCACGACCTTCTGTGGAATCTCCCATCTGAACTTGGGAGAGTCTCACCCTTACAATGCCAGCTACCTGGATATGTTTCTGTGTGTACATGTATTATTGGGCTGCAATAATCCAGATGACTGCTAGTCACCTAGTGGTTGTCCTGATATTTTGCAGCACAGATTCAGTAAGACAAAGTACAATGATACCTTGGTATTCATTGTTTAATTGGCTCCGGGAGACGCGATGTGTACCAAAAACAATGAGTACCAAACAATTTTTTTCCCCATAAGGAATAATATAGTGAGTCACAAGGCAGTCAACACCAACCAGTTCTAGCTTGTGCATTGAGTACCAAACAAACAATGGCTACCAGGACAAAATGTTCACTTCAAAATGCTTTGAATATCAAATTTGATGAGTTTCAAAGCAGCAAAGTACCAAGGTACCACTGTATTGTATCTCATCAGCTTTCTCCCTTATCACACGTAGCACAGGTAAACTGGACCATATCTTAAGATTCGGTTATTGTATGAATATGTATTCAGTAGGGGGAATGTCTAACTAAGTAGCTGAGTCATTGTTTTTGTCCAGGACAGCGAACGGGTGTGGGAGGATTATACGGCCTTGGAAAATGATGTGCAGATGCTAAAGGGCTCCTTGGAGCATATCCGGACTTCTGGGCATCCCCAGGTAAATCGTAAATATGAGGGACAGAGCTTTCTCAATAGTGGCTTCAAACATATTCCAATGGATACCCACTAGGCTTTCCTGCTAAGTAGATCATAGTCATTCACTGACATGAGCCTTTGATTGAGTTTACACTTTATTGGAAGATACAATATGTCATGTTTTTTTCTTGTTTCTGTTATTAAATTAATAATTCAGAATTTGCTGGATTTTTAGTTGTTATTTTTAAATAATATACATGTAGGTTAATTGTCATAGGCTACTATAAAAGAGTTTCATTGTTATGCCAGCTTTAGAATCTTAATGATAATTAAAATGAATGCCTGGAGCTAATAAACAATGTGGTATTTAAGTAAAAAGAATAAAATAAAATAATTGCTTTCATTTTATGAAATGTGATGGGGATAGGGGCGTATTTATACAACCAATACACACAAACAGATATATATCCTAGTCTAATTATTTAATAATAGGGACAGAAAGTAGGATTCAACCTGAATGTCCCTCTTCGGGGTCCATCCACCCTCTTTTCTAATCTATAGGAACTCCTGTTTCTCTTTGACTAATTACTAAACTAGAAAGTTACTTTTAAACAATGAAAAAACAAAACAAAACTAAAAAGGTCTCAGTAGCTGTACATTTGATATCAACACATACTGAACATTCCTATTGGTGGAAGAAATACTGCATAATTTTAGAAATAACTGCTCCTGTCACTTGAGAGATTTCGGCTCTCGTCCGGAAGCGATGATGGGAAAAGGCAGAAAGGTAGGAGGTGCGTTGGTTGTCTCCATTTGTCCATCAATTCCCTTCCCTTAGGATCAAGCAGCAGCTCAACAGGATTTGTGGCGAATCCATGACATCTTGGCAGGATTGAGATGCAGCCCGGCAAATTATCGCACCCTGGAAAACCGAAGATCAGGTTCTTAATGCCATGGGATCAGCACTGCACTAGGGGGTGGGGATGGGGGCGAGAGTGGGATAGTTCTCTGTTATGAGTAAACAGCATTGCAACCAAGGGGTTCGTTCTTCATCAAGTACGCCCCATTATTATACCTGGGATTTGTTTCTGGGAATGGTACCCCAGTTTGCCAGTAGTAGATGTAAGTAATTGTTGATTATTATCAAAGAAATAAAATCAACAATGTAGTTGAGAAGATAAAAATCCCCTTGATTCAATATGAATCTTGGTGACTATCTGGATCCTCTAATGCAGATTTTTTTTTTCATTTTTCTGAAATGGCTTCCAGCTTCCCAGTCTGCTATACTCCTGTTATTTATTCCCTGGTGGGAGGGTGTGGGGGTCTCAGCTCCAATTAATGGAATAACAAAGTTGGAAAAGATCTTAGAGGTCTTCTAAGCCAAGCCTAATCTCAGGCAGGAAACTATACCAGTGATGGTTAATCTTTTCGGCACCGAGTGCCGAAACTGGAGCATGCGCGCCAGTGGTGAAATCTAAAATTTGTTACTACCGGTTCTGTGGGCATGGCTTGGTGGGGGGAGGAGGTAATGTGACTGGGTGGGCATGGCCAATTTTTTTTTTTAACTTTTGAAACCATTTTTTCTACAACCTCTTCAGCGAAGAGGTTATAAAAAATGCTTTCAAAAGGCTCTGATGATCCCAGCTGAGTTGCCTGATCGTCAGAGGCTTTTTTTTCTTTTAAATGCCTCTGACGATCAGGCAACTCATCTTGGATCGTTGGGGAGGGAGTTTGAAACATTGGAGTGCAGCAACCAAGCAGCAACCTTCTTGTGTATCCCCCAGCAGAGAAATCCCTGATGATGATCTGACTAAGAGAAGGACCGTGGGAGAAAATAATCCTTTGCAATATCTTTTTGCTTCCTTCATTGTAGGTGCGTCTCCAAGCTCGCCTCCACCTCTGGATTCTCATTTGGGGGCAAATCATCACTCTCTGCTACCCTGCACTGAAACAGAGGTACTTCAAAAAGAACAAGTCACCTTTTCTGGACTTTGGCTCCAAAGAGCGATGGGCTCTCCCCCTCTGTCTTTCTCTCAGACTTCTGTCCTGTTCTATTTTTATAAACATTCTTTAGAGGCTGAGCATTCTCTGTGCTTGATGTTGACTCTGTATTTAATTTGGGAATATCTTGCCAGAAGATAAGGGAATGTTTCTGCATGTGTGTGTGTGTGGATATAAGGGTATACATTCAAAGACCACTAATATACAGGTAATCCTCAACCTACGACCACGATTGGACCCAAAATTTATGTTGCTGTGAGAAACTTGTTAAGTGCCCCATTTTATGACTTTTTGTGCCACATTTGTTAAGTGAATCACTGCAGTTAAATGAATCTGGTTTTCCTATTGACTTTGCTTGTCAGAAGGTCACAAAAGGTGATCATATGATCCTGGGACACTGGAACTGTCATCTATGTGAGTCAGTTGTCAAGCATCCAAATATAAATCATGTGACCATGGGGATGCTACAATGGTCATAAATGTGAAAAATGGTCATAAGCAGTGGTGGGTTGCCCCCGGTTCACACCGGTTCTATAGAACCGGTAGTAAAACTGATGGGAGGCTCCGCCCACTGACCCTGACATCATCAGAATGCTTCTGCGCATGTGCAGAAGAGTGTGTGCGAGTGGCCCCATTGCGAACCAGTAGTAAAGGTAAGTGGAACCCACTCCTGGTCATAAGTCATTTTTTTCAGTGCCATTGTAACTTTGAACGGTCACTAAATAAAAAATTGATTTAAAATACAAGTAAAATAAATAAAAAAGATAAGAAAGCAAAATCGTGTGGGGAAAAACAGTGCATTCCAGTTAACCATCATGTAATCATCAGGGCAGTTAACAAAACCATGTTACCCGGTAATAAGCTTCATTGGGCATTGTGGTAGCTTTCCTGTGGCTTTCAGTTTGTATTATTAACGAGGATCTGGATCCGAGGGAGACCACTGTGCCTCAGATAGCCGGATGTGAGTCCCTCCTTGTGAGGTGGGGCCGTGGGGTTCAGATGGGCTTGTTGCTTACGTACCTGGCTCCCTGCCGCGTGGCAACAGCCCTTCCTGAGCTACTCGACGTGATAGCCACGGTGGCAGTAGATACACCCAGGCTTTTAGTCATGGGTGATTTCAACTTGCCATCTGTCGGTGAAACGTCTGAGGTGGCTCGGGAGTTCATGGCTTCCATGACGGCCATGGACCTGACCCAGTTAGTTCATGGCCCTACTCACAGGGGAGGTCACACTCTGGATCTGATTTTTGTCTCTGGCCAGTGGTTGAGTGGTCTTGTTATAGGGGATATAGACATGGAACCCTTGTCATGGACTGACCACTCACTCCTTCGCCTAGATCTTCGAACCGCGACCCCTCGCCGCAGGGAGGCGGATCCAATTAGATGGATCCGCCCCAGGCGCCTGATGGATCCTGATAGGTTCCAGACGGAGCTTGGGCCATTTCCTGAGGATCTAGCACATGACTCGGCCGAGGACCTGGTAGCCGCCTGGGATCGGGCGGCTGGTGGGGCCTTGGACCGAGTTGTGCCTTTGCGGCCTCTGACCCGATGCCGATCCCGGGTGGCTCCTTGGTTTACTGAGGAGCTGAGGGAAATGAAGCGCCGGAAAAGACGCCTGGAGAGCGGTTGGAGGGCCAGTCTCGCTGAATCTGATCGAACACTGGTAAGGTCGCATATTAAGACCTACCTAGTGGCGATAAAGACGGCAAAGTCTAACTACTTTTCCGCCTCTATTGCGTCATCAGGGAATCGTCCGGCCGCCCTGTTTAGGGTGACCCGTGCCCTGCTCCATCTGGGAGTGCGGGAGGATCCCTTAGAAGGCAGGGCGGAGGATTTCGGACAATACCTGTATGACAAAATCGCTCAGATCCGGGGGGATTTGGACTCTGACTGGGTAGATCAGGGCAGGGTGACGAGGAACAGTCTTGAGAATGTTATCTGGGAGGAGTTTGATGCTGTGACTCCCGATGATGTGGACAGGATTTTGGGGAGACTTAGTGCGGCCACATGTTTACTGGACCCGTGTCCCTCCTGGTTGGTACTGGCTTCCCGGGAGGTTACACGAGGCTGGCTCCAGGGCGTTATTAATGCTTCCTTGAGTGAGGGTCACTTCCCCGCTGCCCTGAAAGAGGCGGTGGTGAGGCCTCTCCTCAAGAAGCCGTCCCTGGACCCAGCAATATTGGCTAACTATCGTCCTGTCTCCAACCTTCGCTTCATTGCGAAGGTTGTTGAGAGTGTGGTCGCGCAACAGTTTCCACAATTCCTGGAGGAAACATCCTATCTGGATCCGTTCCAGTCAGGTTTCAGGTCTGGGCACAGCACGGAAACGGCATTGGTCGCGCTGGTTGATGATCTCTGGAGGGCTCGGGACAGGGGTTATTCCTCTGTTCTGGTCCTATTAGATCTCTCAGCGGCTTTTGATACCATCGACCATGGTATCATGCTGCACCGGCTGGAAGAGTTGGGGGTGGGAGGCACCGTGTTACGGTGGTTCTCCTCCTTTCTCTCCGACCGGTCGCAGTTTGTGTTGGCAGGGGGGCAGAGGTCGACCTCGAGGCCTCTCATTTGTGGAGTGCCGCAGGGATCGGTCCTCTCGCCCCTTCTGTTCAACATTTATGTGAAGCCGCTGGGCGAGATCATCCGTGGCTTTGGGGTGAGATACCACCAGTACGCTGATGACACCCAGCTGTACATCTCCACCCCAGGCCACCCCAACGATGCCCTTGAAGTGATGTCCCAGTGCCTGGAGGCTGTGCGGATCTGGATGGGGAGGAACAGGCTCAGGCTCAACCCTTCCAAGACTGAGTGGCTGTGGCTCCCGGCATCCCGATATAGTCAGTTGACTCCATCACTGACTATTGGGGGCGAGTCTTTGGCCCCCACTGAAAGGGCTCGCAATCTGGGAGTCCTCCTGGATAGGCAGCTGTCTTTGGAGGAACATCTGACGGCTGTTACCAGGGGGACCTTTTATCAGGTTCGCCTGATTCGCCAGTTGCGGCCCTTTCTTGATCGGGATTCCCTGTGCACAGTCACTCATGCCCTCGTCACCTCTCGCCTTGACTACTGTAACGCTCTCTACATGGGGCTCCCCTTGAAGAGCACCCGGAGGCTCCAGCTGGTCCAGAATGCAGCAGCGCGGGTAGTGATGGGAGCAACATGGCGCTCCCATGTAACACCACTCCTGCGCGAGCTGCACTGGCTCCCGGTGGTCTTCCGGGTGCGCTTCAAGGTGTTGGTTATCACCTTTAAAGCGCTCCATGGCATAGGGCCTAGCTATCTCCGAGACCGCCTACTGCTACCGATGACCTCCCATCGACCCGTGCGCTCCCACAGAGAGGGCCTCCTCAGGGTGCCATCAGCCAAACAATGTAGGCTGGTGGCCCCCAGGGGGAGGGCTTTCTCTGTGGGGGCTCCCACCCTCTGGAATCAGTTGCCCCCGGAGATAAGAAGAATCCAGGACCTCAATGCCTTCCGTCGTTCCCTGAAAACCTATCTTTTCCAGCAAGCCGGGTTGGCTTAAGAAGAAATTTTAAAACTTTTAAATCCTTTTAATTAGTCTGTGATTTTTAATTTTTTGGGCCAAATTTTATATATATTTTTAAATGTTTTAATATTTGTATTCTATGTTTTTTATCTTGGCTGTACACCGCCCTGAGTCCTCAGGGAGAAGGGCGGTATATAAATTCGAAATTAAATTAAATTAAATTAAATTAAAACCAATTTGTTACAAAAGGGTTTCACACAGATGACATGCAATCTTTTAGCATTGCTTCAGAAAAGCAAATAATTTTGCAAAAAGTATTGGTGTTGGAGAGAACTAAAAGCTCCATTTAAGGGAAAGAAGTACTTAGATTTTGCTTAGTTATTTTATTCTTCCTCTGATTTTTGTGTCATAATGTGTTTTTAAAAAGTGGCAAAACCTGAACAATTTTTATCACCAATCCAACAATTTGGTCAAAGCAAGAAGAGTATATTGTAAATTTCTCTAATCCTCCAGTAGATGGCAGTGGATATCAATTTAACAACAAAGAACACTCACTGAAAAAAATGTGGAGGTTTTATACAAAAGTTCCTTTGTTACCAGAGTCTGAGCTTCCTCTAATCAACTGGCTCATCATTCTGTAAAACAGTTCTAGGTAGTCCTCAATTTATGACCACAGTTCAGACCAGAATTTTTTGTTGCCAAGCAAGATGTTTTTCAAGTGAGTCGCACCCAGTTTTATGACCTTTTTAATGACCTTTTTTTGGCCAGGTTTATTAAGCAAATGATGGTTTAAATCACATGATTGTTGAGCAAATCTGGCTTCTCCCATTGACTTTGTTGTTGGAAGCTGGTTGGGAAGTTTGCAAATGGAAATTACATAATGCAGTGGATGTTTGCAACCATTGTAGATACCAAGTTGATTACCAAGGACTTGAATTTTGATCACGTGACAGTGGGGATATTGCAGTGGTCATATGTGTGAGGACTGCTTATCACTTTTTTCAGTGCTGTTGTTACTTTGAATCTTGCTAAACAAATGGTTGTAAATTGAGGCCTACCTATACAACTTATACAAGCTACGACCGCAATTTAGCCCAAAATTTCTGTTGTTAAATGAATTTTGCCCCATTTTACAGCCTTTCCTGCCATGGTTCTTAAGTGAATCACTGTAGCTGTTCAATTAGTAACCCAGTTGTTAAGTGAATCTGGCTCCCCCATTGACTTTGCTTATCAGAAGATCGCAAAAGGGGATCATGTGACTCCAGGATGTTGCACTGTCATAAATGTGAGTCAGTTGCCAAGCGCCTATATGTTGATCATGTGATCATGGGGATGCTGTGTGTGTGAAAAAGTCACTTTTTTCAGTGCTGTTGTAACTTTGAACAGGCACATTAAATGAACGGTTATAAATCGAGGACTACCTGTACTGGATTCTGTGAATATTTCAACTGATTCAGTGTTTTTCTCCCATCCTCTCAGTATATTTTCTGCTTCCCAAAAAGAGCAGACGTCCCTCTAACCTGTCTTCTTATCCATAACATGATGATATAATCCTGATTTTATCCATTGAAAAATGTGTGCTGTGTGTTGTGGTATTTCAGAATGTAACCTGAGAATATGGCATTAATTAAACGTTCACTTGGCTGTGGAAGCCACTTGCTGGAATCTGAAACAGCTTCTCCAACTTTTACCATTTATCCCAGGAATCTACCCCCAGCTATGGGCCGGAGACAGGAAAACCAGCCAGAATGGGGAGCAAACCGCAGGATGGCCCTGGTTCAGCAAACTGGAAGGTAAGGATGTTTCTAGCACATCGCATGTGGGCTCAGTTCCCATCCCCAACTCTGCTCCCCGCTCTGGGCACTGCCCTCAACTTGACCCACCTTTCTATTCCCTTCCAGCAAAGTCCACCTACTTCCAGCAGAGGGCAGTTGGGAGCATCTCAGCATGTGGATGGACTCAAGGGGTCCCCAAACCATCCCTCCATTGAGCCCCCAGAGAGTGAGAAAGGGAAGGTTGGCAGAGGAGCAGATTCTGTTAGACCAGGTGAATGAAACTGAGAGATAAGTACATATCTAGGTCACAATTTGAGCATGGAGCCACTTCCCTATGGGAAGTTGAAAAGCTGTCCACTTAGCCTTCACCCAGCAAAAAACTTTATTGGCATTAATTGTGCTGCCCCAAATGCTATCCCCAGTTATGGAGGCCATCAAATGGTGGTGTCCTTCTTTATGCATGTCTAGTTTAATGAAAAGAAGGACTAGGGGAGACATAATAGCAGTCTTCCAATATCTCAGGGGCTGCCACAAAGAAGAGGGAGTCAAGCTATTCTCCAAAGCACCTGAAGGCAGGACAAGAAGCAAGAGGTGGAAACTAATCAAGGAGCGAAGCAACTAAGGAGAAATTTCCTGACAGTTAGAACAATTAATCAGTGGAACAACTTGCCTCCAGAAGTTGTGAATGCTCCAACACTGGAAGTTTTTAAGAAGATGTTGGATAACTGTTTGCCTGAAGTGGTGTAAGGTTTCCTGCCTAAGCAGGGGGTTGGACTAGAAGACCTCCAAGGTCCCTTCCAACTCTTATTCTATATGGTGTGCAGGGAAGGGCAAGAGAAGCAATGGTGGGCTCCCTTAATTTTGTTCCTCCCTGCTGCCTATGACTGTGCAGCCCTGTGACACCTATTAATAGAATAGAATAGAATAGAATAGAATAGAATAGAATAGAATAGAATAGAATAGAACAGAACAGAACAGAACAGAACAGAACAGAACAGAATTCTTTCTTGGCCAAGTGTGATTGGACACACAAGGAATTTGCTTGGTGCATAGGCTCTTGGTGTACATAAAAGAAAAGATACATTTGTCAAGAATCATAAGGTACAACACTTAATGATAGTATTAGGGAAACAGTCAATATAAATCTTAAGGATACCAGCAACAAAGTTACAATCATACGTGGGAGGAGATGGGTGCCTGAGAAATAGCTTGGAGAAGACCTTCCCACAAAGGTCCTAGAAGTTATTTTTTATTAAACCTAGGTTTAAGTATTCTTTGGAAAGAGCAGTTAGCAGACTTCATAGGAGTGGAATTAACAGGTGACTGTACAGGAAAGAGGGGTTATAGGTACGGTAGGCGTCCCCCTCTTTTCCCTTGCTGCTCATCTCCTCTGTTGTCCAGAGGAGAATGCATAATCACACCTACCCATCCCATCAGGTCCAGCAGAAAGGGTATATTGCAGGCCCCATCAAGGAAGGAATATCACCTGTTGGGAACTAGGAGAAGAGCCTTTTCTGCTTTGTAACCTGCCCTATGGAACATCATTTCCCCTGACACCAGACTAGCCTGGTTTTGTTGGCCTTCTGGAAGGACTGAAGATGCGGCTTTGCCACCCAGCCTGGGGATTTGGTAGCAACGGTTAGAGCCTGCTAAATGGCTGTAGATTGATTTATGTCCTATAAAATCATTGTCAACCCTCAGCATTCACATACTGCAAATAGATTTTCTTCGTGATGATCGTTCCCTAACCTGGTTTTCCACCTCTTCAGCTGCAGTAGCTCTTTGTTCTACTGTAACTAAGTTTATCCATCTTGCTGCAGGTCATCCTTTTCTTCTCTTTCCCATCTTCAGCACTAACTGTGCTAATAAATCATTAGCACTAGCACTAATGATTTATATTCTGCTGACTGCCAGAGTTTGATTCCCACTGGCTCAAAGTTCACTCGGCTTTCCATTCTTCCAAAATCAGTAAAATGGGGACCCAGTTGGTTGGGGCGAATATGCTGACTCTCTAAAGCCCTTAAGAGAGGGCTGTAATCAGGGGTGAAATGCTCCCGGTTCAGACTGGATCGCCCGATCCAATAGCGATGGAGGCTGGTGGTTCAGAGAATAGGTAGCAAAAATCACTGCCCCCTCCCCATGCCCAGCTGAGCCGCACAATCATCAGAGGCTTTTTTTTTACTTTTAAAATCATTTTTTCTGCAACTCTTCGGCAGAAAAAATGTTTTTAAAAGTAAAAAAATAAGCCTCTGATGATCGCGCGGCTCAGCTAGGATCGTCAAAGGCTTTTAAAAGAAAAAAACCCTTTTTTTTCTTTTAAATGCCTCTGACGATCCCAGCTGAGTTACCTGATCAGCAGACACTTTTTTAAAAAGCCTCTGCCGATCAGGCAACTCAGCATTTTTTTACAACTCTTCGCCGAAGAGGTTGTAGAAAAAATGGTTTTAAAAGTAAAAAAAAAAAAAAATGGCCACGCCCACCCAGTCACATTACCCCTCCAAGCCACGCCCACAGAACCGGTAGTAACAAATTTTAGATTTCACCACTGGCTGTAATGCACGGTGAAACGGTATATAAGTCTAAGTGCTATTGCTATATACCACTCCACAATGCTTTACAGCAGTCTCTGAGCGGTTTATAGAGTCAGCATATTGCCCCCAACAATCTGGGTCCTCATTTTACCAACTTCGGAAGGATGGAAAGCTGAATCAACCTTGAGCCGGTCAGGATCGAACTCCTGGCTGCGGGCAGAGTTTGCGTGCAATACTGCATTCTAACCATTGCACCATCAGAACCTTCTCCAGAGAGCTGGGTCCTTGCAATATGTATCCCAAGTTTGATAATTTGGGCTAGGTCATTTACCGGTATGTTTGGAGTGAGAACTCTAGAGTGGCTGTATTGATAGTCACATTGTGCTGTCTTGCTAATTATGTTTTGGTTTTTAAGAAGCTTTTGATGGTTTTGTTGTTATGGGTTTGGTTATTTTTGGTGGCACTTTGTGTTTTTAACTTTGTAACCCACCCAGATTCATGTATCTGTGAATTTTGCAAATCTTAGAGTACATATACCTCCCACCCATTCACAGTGCATGAAACTAGGGAGGGTCTCTTCTGAGACATTTGCTATGCCTACATTTCTTCTGTGGGCTAAACTGCCTCTCATCCTCTGACTGTGGCTCTTCTCCCTGTCTCCCAAGGTCATTCTCACTTGTCATTACAGGCTGCCTCTGGTATGTATTATGAGTTAAAGGCAACATCATGAGATACAGCTGAGGCAGCTTTATCTTATATTTATGCACATGATATTTGATTAGGTTTCATTCTTGGAGCTTTTGACTTTCACATTCTTGCTTTGATTGTGATAATAGCAACAGCTGCCCCAGCCGGTCCTTCAGGAAAGTAAGACTCTTGAGTCCATTTGGTCCAATCAAAAGAACTTTTACTGAGAGAAAGTGATTGTAGGAAAACAAGGCAGAATCTGAAAAGTTCCATGCAAAGCACAAAGCATTTTTTTTATTTTTCCAAGCCCAATTCTCCTGACCAGTCCACCAGCAGCCAATGTGATGCTGCAAAGTTGTTCTGAGAACACTGAGGTGCTACACAGATAACAGTTCACCCTCAGGGCATGACAGCCTTGGAACCGCTGGGAGGGAGTCCGCTCCATCTCCCAAGGCAATCAACCTTTCTAATTCCCCAGCAGTTACATCAAAAGCATGCAAAAATGCCAGCAAGCTACCTCCCCCCACTTCCAACAGAATGGCAGGACACGATGGTGGGCCTGAAAACAGCAGTTAGATTTACATTTATAATCTTCTCCGAGTGGTTTACATATTTCAGCATATTTTCCCCAACAATCTAGGTCCTCATTTTACTGACCTTGGAAGGATGGAAGGCTGAGTCAACCTTGAGCCGGTCAGGATCAAAGGAATCGAACTCCTGGCAGTGTGAGCAGAATTAGTCTGCAATACTGCATTCTAACCACTACACTACTACAACTCTTAATGCAGCTAACACCACAGCAGTTTAAACCTTTGTTTATTTGCTATGAACAGCAATGTTTTATCATAAGGTTTTCTGCGCTACATCCTCCATTCCATTCCCACTCCCAAATACGGCTTTTGCTTTTCTCTCTAGGACCATGTTGGTGAATTTACGGCACGCGTGCCAGAGGTGGCATGTGATCTGTCACCCCAGTTCAGCCCTGCTGTGCATGCGTGCATGCCTCCCGCCGACCCCGCTGGTCTTCGGGTCTCTGCTGTGTATGCTCAGGGTGTGGGATGCATGCAGAGGGCCACGCATACACATGCACGGGGGCCATGCATACATGGGGGCATGTGCAGGGGGCATGGCGCAGGCGGGGGCCATGTGTGGAGTGGGCGCATGTGCGGGACACATGCACAGGGGCCATGCACGCATTGCATTTTGGGGGTTCGGGTGTCCGCATGTGCTTTGGGCACTCGGCCCGGAAAAGGTTAGCCATCACTGTTTTAGGACAGAGGTCCCCAACGTTTCCAGCTTTGCAAACCAGGATGGTGGTGGGGGAGGGGATGGTTCCCGTAAGCGGTGTGTATGTGCACTTGCTGCGAACGCAAATAAGAGTCCCCTCGAACGCATTCAGCAGTAAAAGTAGCAGGAACCGCAGTAATACTAGAACTAATAATACAAGTAGTCCTCGACTTACAACCACAGTGAAGCCCAGAATTTATGTTGCTCAGTGAAACATTAATTTCAGTGTGTTTTGCCCCATTTTACGACTTTTCTTGCCATATTTGTTAAGTGAATCATTGCAGTTGTTAAATTAGTAACACGGCTGGTAAGTGAATCTGGCTTCCTCATTGACTTCTCTTGCCAGAAGGTTCTCAAAAGGAGATCACGTGACCTGGGGACACTGCAGCCGTCATAAATATGAATCAGTTGCCAAGTGTCTGAATGTAAATCACTTGACTGCGGGAATGCTGCAACAGTCATAAGTGTGAAAAATGCTTTTTTCATTGTCGCTAAATGAATTGCTGTAAATCGAGGACTAAATAAATACAGGATTTATTATAATCAATAGTAATAATGAAGATGATAATGCATTTAAAAAAAATAGAATGGAAATTTCCATCAGAAATAACAAATCTTCCAAACAGCACACAGCAGAATGAACTGGTAAAGTCCTGGACTATGGGTGATCTTTGACTCGATGGCCATTTCATTTAATAATGGTTCAAAGTTACAATGGGCTCAGAAAAAATTCCTATGACCTATTCACACTTACAACTATCACATCACCCCTGTGGTTAGGTGACTGCAATTCGGTCACTTGGCAACCAGCTCACATTTACCATTTGCAATGATCGTTGCAAGTTGTGATTGCAATTTGTGACCTTTTTTGCCATTTTCCAGCAAAAAATGTCCATCAGGGAAACTGGGTTTCCTTAATGACTGTGTGATTTCTTAATATTTGCTGTAAAAATTATCATGAAATCAGGTCTGACTTGACTTACATTTAATTGCAATGACTTAAGGACAGAAATTCTTGTCCCAATTGTGGCCATAAGTCAGCCTGTCAGTCAATCAATCAATGAATCAATCAATGAATCAATCAATCAGAATAGAGCTGGAAGGGACCTTGGAGGTCTTCTATTCCAACCCTTGCGCAAGCAGGAGACCATACCATTTCAAACAAGTGACTGTCCAGCCTCTTCTCAAAAACCTCTAATGATGAAGCACCTACAACTTCTGACAGCAAGCTGCTCCACTGATTAATTGTCTTGTTAGGAAGTTTCTCCTTAGTTCCAGGTTGCTTCTCTCCTTGATTGATTTCCAATCTTGGCGCTTTGGAAAATAAATTGACCCCTCTCTTCTTTGTGGCAGCCCCTCAAATACTGGAATACTGCTATCACCCCAGCCCCTTTTTTTTCCTCTAGACTACCCAAACCCAAATCCTGCAACCGTTCTTCATATGTTTTAGTCTTTAGGCCTTTAATCATCTTAGTTGCCCTTCTTTGCACTTTTTCCAAAGTCTCAACATCTTTTTTGTAATGTGGTGACCAAAACTGGATACAATAGTCCAGATGTGGCCTTACTAAGGCTTTATAAAGTGGTGCTAATACTTCACGTGATTTTGATTCTATGCCTCTGTTTATACAATCAAGGATTGAATTCACTTTTTTGGCTACTGTTAACTCATATTTAAGTGATTGTCCACTAGAACTCCAAGCCCCCTCTCACAGTTACTGTTTTTGAGCCAAGTTTCACCTGATCTATACTTGTATGTTTGGTTTTTCCTGCCCAGGTTTAAAACCTTGTTTTCCTCCACATTAAATTTCATTTTGTTAGATAGGGCCCATCGTTCAAGTCTGTCAAGATCTTTTTGAATCCTGTCAAGGATTACCTGCACATCACTTTAGGATAGAATAAAGGCATCTCCTTAAATATTATAATCTTAATGTAATTAAGGCTTGAGAAGATGGCCAGGTCATCTCCTACCTCCTTTTATCTTTTCCTGCTTAATTCCTTAAATTACCCACAATTCCGCTTTTCCTTCCCATTTCAGGCTGCTTTCCCATTGGTCAAGAAATGTTCCCATGGGACAAGCAGGATACATCTGTCATCTGCATTAGCATTGAACGATGAATCCTTCAGTGCCCTTCAACTAACAGTATGGCATTTATAAGATTTGATCTTGGATTGCCTACTCAAATGGTTTCTTCCGGTGTGGAAGCAGAAACTGAGAGAGACAGGAAATTTAATCTTGAAAGTTGTTGTTTTTTTCTTTGCTTCCCTTCCATTCCATAGACCACGAAGGCTGCATCCATGGAAGCGAAGGTCCTGAACACAGCATTGTCAAGGTATGATGGGATGGCAAAAATATTCTGCCTTTCTCATTTGCTTATTTATTTATTTATTTGTTAGGTTCTACCCTGCCTTTCCTCCAGGAGCTCAAAAGTCTCATCCGTAGCATTCCCTTTTCTTTTTCCAAAGAACAATCCTGTGAGGTAGGTTGGGATCAGAGACAGCGAGTAGTCCCCAGGCAGCATGAGAATGGAGTTAAATTGATTCTCCATAGTGCTAAATGAGTGTTTTTCAATCTCAGCAAATCAGCCACTGGCCATAGCTGGGGAATTCTGGGAGCTGAAGTCCACAAAATGTTAAACTTGGGAAACACTGATCTGGACCAATTCCATAACAACAATGCCATCCTGGCTCTCCTCTAGTGGTTTTCAGATGTGACCTGGGAATTCTGGGAACTGTAGTTCCAAGACATCTGGTTGGGGAAGGTTGATGAGGGATGGCAGTTGAAGGGATTTAAATAGTCATTTTATTCATTCTAGGAATTTCTAACTGTTCATGAACATTCAGTGGCTCTTGGAGCTAAAACTAAAACAACTTGTTTTAACAGTTTCTGGAATTTGTGAGGAAAGGGATGAAGTTGTAATGCAGGGGTGAGGAACCATGGCCCTTTTATGACGTGGACTTCAACTCCCAGAATTCTTAAGCCAGCCATGAACCATGCTGTCCACAAGTCATAAAAGGGCCATGTTTTCCCAATCCTGTTGTAATGGATGGATGGCAGTCAAATCACAAATGATGGCAAAGGCCGTGGATGGTGGTAAAAGAATGCCAGCATGGCAAAGCAGCAGCTCAACAATGGGCAACACATTTCTTTATTCCCTGCCTGGAAGCCGTGAGGGATGTGCCTTCTAACATCATGGTATCCCTGGAGTGGGCAGGGAGATGCAATATATGGTTCCTTAAGAACTGGAAAATTGGCCTGATTTGAGAGCTGGCTTACGATTTGAAAGGAATGCCACAGATGACTTCAGCTTCTGCACAGCTGTTAATTTCATCCCTTCATGGAAAAAAGGGTCCTGGCCAATCCAGGGGAGACAAAGAGGGTGCTGAGATAGCTTCCCCATCACCCTGGGGTGCAGCTTACTCATTTTTGCAGTTGTAATAAAGGACTGAAAGGAAAAGAAAACCTTCTCAGGTAAAAGTGTGGCACCTGGGCAGTGACTTCTCCCAACCTTCCTTTCTTCCCTCACCCCCAGGTGGCCTCTTCCGAAACGACAGTCCCTCGGCGGTCCCGCATGAGCGCCCAGGAACAGCTGGACAGGATGCAGCGGCACCAGCAGGCCAAACGGAAATCTGAGGCTGCCCAGCCCACACCCCTGGGCCACTGGCGAGACTCTCTCAAGCATGGGTCTAGCCGGGTGGGTGTGAAGCCTTGTGGGGAGGGGGAGCGTAGGAGAGCAGCAGGGGTCTTGGGTGGACGCTTGAGTGAAACAGAGAGGTTCTTTGGCCCAGAGAGGAGCCAAAATACGTTGGGTGTGAGAAAGACAGATTTCTAGGGTTTCTCGTGCTGTGGTGGAACCCAGCCGCTTGGGTTTGCTAAGGGGAAGCCAGAAGAAGGTTCAGATAAAGAAAGCTGGGTCTTCAGAGATAGGAGTGAAGGGGGCTACATCCCGCTCTTGGGTGGGGTGGGCGTGGGGGCTGAGGAAAGGAAAGGTTTTCCACCAAGGGTTGTTGTGATTTTTTCGTATTTATCCAGTGAAACCGAAGGATTGTCTTCCAGGCTTTGTAAATCAAAACCAGAAGGAAAGGATGGTGTGGTGCTTAATTTCTAGTTTAGATGGTTAACGAGGGGTGCTTTGTCAAGAGCTGGGGCTACATCTCTGTTGCTCACGCCACGTTCCCCTCCCATCGTTTAATCTCTCCTTCAGCCCCTCCCCATTGCCCCCCCTGAGTCATCACCCAAGGAGGGAATGCAAATTGGGGAAGTCAAGCCTCCTCGGTGCCCCCCAACCCCTGAGTGGGAGCGACAGCGAGTAATCCAGCTCTCCTATGCGCTGGCGACCGAGGCTTCGCAGCGGGGAAAACTCCTCACAGGTACTAGGATAGGCCACTTTCTTTGTTTATTTGTCCCAAGCGTGTATGTCCTGCCTTTTGATCCCCTGGTTTTTTTTCCCCCCAGATAGCTCCATGTTAGGGTGTTGATGCACCCAAGTAGGTAAAATCCTGACACAGATTCCTGATAGGCAAGGGTATCGTCCCTGGAGGCGACATTTTTGGGTTGGTTTTTTTTTTTTTTTTTTTTTGCAAAACCTGATCCAAAAGGTACAACTTACAGCCTCTTTAATTATCCATTGCCTCTTTAGTTCTCCTGTTTTGCCTTTTATTTGCCTGAAAGTAAATGCCTTATTCTGACTTGCACTAGCCAAGTCATACAGAGTCCTTGACTTACGGCTGTAATTGAGCCCAACATTTCCACTCCTAAGCAAAACCTTTGCTAAGTGAATACGTTCTTGACAAATAAAACAATAAAGTAAATAAATAAATAAATTTGCCCCATTTTACGACCTTTCTTGCTACAGTAAAGTGAATTACTGCAGTTTTTAAGGTAATAAGCGAGTTGTTAAGTGAATCTGGTTTCCCCATTGATTTCATTTATAAGAAGGTTTCAGAAGGGGATCACATGACCCCAGGACACTGCAGCCGTCATAAATATGAATCAGTTGCCAAGTGTCTGGATTTTGATCACATGACGATGGGGATGCTGTAATGGTCATAATTGTGAAAAACAGTCATAAGTCCCTTTTTTCAGTGCCCTTGCAACTTCGAACAGTCACTAAATGAACTGTTTTAAGTCAAGAACCAACTATAAAATAATAGTTTCTGGACACTGGTATGTCTTATTCACACATTTTCCAAGGCATTCCCAGGACATCATCATTGTGTTAGATACAGCCCAAGAGCCTTAAACTTCACGTGATTTTCCTTTGTAGTGTCATAATTTTTATTTTCCTGTCAGCCATTTCCCAACAGATATAGATAGTCCTCAGTTAACGGTAATTGGGACTGAGAACTCCATCGCTAAGTGATACAATTGTAAAAGATGACATCATGTGATTTATGATAGCAGTTCCAGTTGTGTTTATCTTCCCTCATTGACTTTGCTTGATCTTGGCAGTGATGATCACCAATGACCATCACATGGGACACTGCAACCATCATAATTGCAAGCCAGTTCTCAAGCATTTGGATCATGCCCATAACAACTATGGCCATCAAAACAACTTGAGGACCAGCTGAAAGGGCCTTCATAACTTTGAATGAATGATTGTTAATTGAGGACTATTTATTTATACATCAGATTTCTTAACCATCCATCTCCCTTATATAGGGCTCTGTGTATAAAGACTAAAGACTGTGTATAAAGACTACCTGGACTTTTTCCATGGTCAATCCGTTTTCCTATCCAAAATCCTGCACGCAATACAGACCTTGTTAGCTGCAGAGGTCATAATAAAACTGTTTTCACTTACGTGTTCTTACCAAAAAAGTAAAGGCTCCCTTGAGTCAGCTTCTGGTGATTACTTGGACAGATCCGTGATGTTTTCCTGGCAACGATACAGAAGTAATTCATCGCTGCCTTCTTGAGAAAGTTTTTCAGCTACCCAGCCTGGCCTGTAGCCCTTTTTAGTATAGTCTAAGTACTATGTAGGATGCCGCATAGAGTTTTCACCTAATAAGTTGGGCCCAATGCTTTAAAAACAGAAGCTAGTAGCCCTCTTTCAGCATGCATATGTATAAAGAGTTGAGTAAAGGCAGATGAATTAACACTGTGAGCAAATACAACTCTGTTTAAGCCATGGAGCCCTGTATAGGTAGTCCTAGAGTTATAAACACAATTGGGACTAGCATTTCTGTTGCCAAGCATGAGTCATGCTTGATTTTACAACCTGTTTTGGATATGTTTGTTAAGTGAATCACTTCAGTTGTTCAGTGAATTGTGTGGATCTTAAGCAAATCCACCCTCCCCGTTTATTTTACTGGTCAGGAGCAAATGGTGATCATGTGACCTTGGGATGCTACAACCACTAGAAATACATTCCAGATGCCCAGCACTTGAATTTTGATCACATGACCATGCGAATGCTGCTACAAGTCATAAGTGCAAGGATTGGTCATAAGTCACTTTTTTCAGTGCCATTCTAACTTCGAAAGGTTACTAAATGGATGGTTGTAAGCCAAGGACTACCTGGATGTTCAAGCCGAGGCTACAGAGGCTGCATTGTTGTTCCACTACTCCCTTATCATTGCATGGACCTACCATTCATTGTTTGTTGAACTCTGAGATTGACTTGCAAATAAAGCCCATCCAAGATGCCAGACGAAAACCTATCACTGCTTACATAATATAATAAAAACACAGGCTTGTGCCTGGAACCCCAGGGAATGTTTACAGTAGACTGGGATTAGTTTAATCCTTTCTGCTTTTTGTCATTTATTTTTGCTCTCTCCTATATGACCAATTTATGCCTTCAGGACATTTCTAATTACAGCTATGTGCCAAACTCTAAAAAAAGAAAGTCACAAATAGTCACCCACCATTTCTCTGAAGCCGGCAATGAGATGACTATCTCTAGATTTCTCTTGCTGTATTTTTTTTTTTTACAAGAGGCAACACCATGAACTGTAGCATATCAGAGCTTTTTAAGTTCCTGTTTCTGCAACACCCCTTCACAATTTCATTCACAAGTGCCCTCTGAATTTCTGTGCAGCTTGTTAGAAATTTAAAAATATGATTTGTGGTTGTCTTCTAGCTTCACAATCAGAGTTGACTTTGGCATTTGAGGGCCTTGCAGCCAAGGCTCTGCTATCTCCCAGAAGATGTGAATGAAGTAGTAGCTCACAATACTTTATTAAGGGTGCCTCGTCTGGTAGACACAATCCAGCATCTTTACTCTAGCCAATTGCCCTGTGATTCTCTGGCCATTCCCCTCTTCACTTACTAATCAGAGCTGACTCTGCTTAGCTTCCAGATCAGCCAATGTTGGATAATGTTGTCCTCTTACTGAAACTATTGACCATCTTATATGTCAAGTGATTATGTCTATTGTCCACAGAGCTTGAGTGCTTGGTAGATCAAGATTTCTTAATTTAGTTCATGTCCTTTTCTCCCCAGGAAGGACCAGTTCTCGCTCCTCCCTAGATGATTTGCTTGCCTCAGAAGATGGCTTGAATCATCACTATTTTCCTGGGGATGGCACCTGCATAAAGCTAGACTCTAGCAGTACAACAGCTGGACACAATCAAACGATTACTCAGAGTCCCAGCTGTAGCACTGACTCTAAAGTTGCAAATCAGGTGCCAGCTTCAGCCCAAGCAACCAAAGCAATGTTCAGTGCCTCAGAAGCTTCTGACTGGTCCTTGCCTTGTCCTTGCGAGGAAAGTTGGTTGCCATCCAAGCCGAAGACTCCACAGCCGACATCCCACCTGCTTGACCCAGCCAGAGAGGAGTCATTCCTACTCGGCGATCCTCATTGGGAGGAACCTTTGCCTCAGCCAACCAATTGGAATGCATGTTTTTGCAGAACAGCCAATTGGGTTCTGCCTCCTGTATGGGACTTAGAAATGTGGGCAGCTGATCAAAAGCTAGTCGGCAATCCAAGCCTAAACAATGGTAGATGCATCCATTGGAGAGGTGAGCCTCAACAGGTAGCAGCATATTTTGGAGAAATGGCACAGCCTGTTAAGGTCACCTTGATAAAATCAAGTTTTTAACTAAAGTCGGATGAAGAGAAGATCTAAAGTGTCATAAAAGAATAGGGGCAAGTCCCTGGAGATGGTTGCCTACTCTAAATCCTAGAAATATTCAAAATAAGAACAGGTAAAACCTTGGCCTTTTAGATCAGAAACACCATATCTCCTGCATGTGAATGTCTCCAGCATATCATCTGTATTTCCCAATCAAATTTTCTCAGTTACTTTCTCACCAACTCATCTTGTCTAGAAAAATCATGATTTATTTTTGGTTTAGTTTTCATTGTTGCTGCAGTCCTAGACACTCCCAGAAATAAATCACGATGAGTTCTGTGGTCTTGGTCTATAGCAGTGTTTCTCAACTTTGGCAGTTTCAAGGTACATGGGCTTCAAGGTATCTTAAAGTTGCTAAAGTTAAGAAACACTGGTCTACAGATTTATATATTGGGTTGGGAAATGGGAGCACCCCATTTCAAATCCATATGTATTCAAAAAGTTTAGTAGTTGTGGCAGAGAATGCTCTTATTTCTTTTAGGAGGTCAAAATCCACCAAGATTGCTTCAGGAAGTGTTTTCCCTTTAAGGAAAAAAAAAAAAAAAGCTAAGGTATCCATGTACTGATGCCTGTTTATAGTGGGAAACTCCTAAAAAATAAGGTTACCACAAATGTTTGATAAATAGATAGACATCGGTGGATATTCCTGACTATTGGTCTCTGCAGATATTCATATTCAACAAATCCATTCCAAAGGCATATTATACTGTACATCCTAGTTGGATGATACTAATACTTTCTGCATTTTTTAAAAAAGATGCAGCTTTAGATCCCACCTTTATTATTTTTATAAATAATTCAACATGGCAAACTGAACTAATACTCCTCCTCCATTCTATTTTCCCCACAATAATAACTCTGTAAGGTGAGTTGAGCTGAGATAGAGAGTGACTGGCCCAAAGTCATCCAGCAGGTTTTTATGCCTAAAGTGGGACTAGAATTTACCATCTCATAGTTATTGTCCCAAAGTCACGGAGCCAGCTTTTATGCTTAAGGTGGGATTAGAACTCACATTTTACTTTTGCTTATAACTTTGCAGAAATTTCTGGCTTCAAGAGAGGTAATTTCTCATTCCATCTTGCAAGCACCTATGTTTCAGAGCTGTTGTCATTTTTGAAACATCATTCAATTCTCAGACCGCAATTTGGGGAGGGGGAAAAAAAGCTCTTTTTCATATCAGCATGGAAGTTATTTGAGCATCCCTGGGGGTGAATGTAGGAACACAAAGGGTTTTTTTTTCCAGCAATTGCTTATTTCTTTTCATAATTTGTTTTATTAAGGTTGTCTTTTGGGTTGTAAATGGATATCTTTTTTTCTGTAAATAGGGATGGGGTTTCAGAGATAAGGATTATTTTCCTGGAATGCCCTATCAAAATGTAAGCTCTCCTTCTAGAGGACTTAAGAAGCAGCTGTACTTGCATAAAAAGAAGAAAACATTGCAAGGAAACCGCCACTAAGATCTGTGAATGGGAGTTTTATCTCCAATTGGAAAGAGAAAGAATAGTTTGATTGTGTGGGGAGAATGATTGGGCAATGGCTGTATTGAAAAAACATTTGGATCTGTCCTAGCAAGCACAAGGAATGTTTCTCATGAAAATTGGTGCCTCTTAAAACAAAGGCAGTGATTTATATTTTGAAGGCAACTCAAAAGACTGGCTGACTTGTTCCCAGTATAAACAGTCAGTGGCCTGTGCAGGAACACATCCCATAGTTATTGACCAGAATGGACATGTCATTTTGCCTAGAGCTGCAGCAAACAAAGGTAGAGAAGTCAGTAAGGGAATGAACAGGAAAGTGATGAGAAGTGTGGGAAGTGAGAATACACTGAATGGCATTGGAGTGGTTTCAGAAAAAAAAAATGACACAAGGAAAAGGGCTTCAGCTAGAAAAGCTGAAGAAGAAAAAGTGATAGTGAGGAATTATTGACAATGATGGACAACTTCTTCATGTAGGAACCTAAATGAAGGAGTTGCTTACTTGGAAGCTACCTGGAGAATTAAACAGGGTTACCATAGTGTGAGAGCATCAGGGTAGGAACCAGAAGTCTGTAAATTGTAGCTCTGCCTTAGCACAAAGCCAACTAGGTGACTTAGGGCCAGTCAGTTTCTCTCAGCCCAAACAAAGAGGCAGTGGCAAACTACTTCTGAAAAAAAAAAACTTGCCAAGAAAACTGCAGGGACTTGTCTAACCAATCTTCAAGAATCAGATGGGAAGAAAAAAAATTATATTGTAGTTGCAGTGGGTCCATTACTCCCTAGCTGTTCCAGATTAAATCTGGGATGGCTAGGCTAGAACATGTGGGCAACCAGTAGAGATTAGCAAAGAGAAGCAGAAATTCTAATTCTTGAGTGCCAGCTCGTGTTTGTCTGGACTTATCCACCAGCCTTAAAGTCTTTCTAACAGTCCCAAAAGATTCAGCAGGTCGTACTTAGCCACAACACCAACATCGCTGAGGTAAATTAGCTGAGAAATTTGTCTAAAAGGTTCTTGTACAGACTTTGATAAGAAAGTTAACTAATAGCCCCCAAACCTATCCTGGAGCACAAAAGCTCAAGAATCTAAACAAAGCAGCCAAAGTTTCCTGTTGTAACAGCTCCTTGCTCTGTTGAGGCACCTGTCTTCCCATGCAGAATTATAATTCTCTTTTAAGAATCAGACTATTTCTACTGTATTTAAGGAGAATGTGTCAGCTACTGCGGGAATTTCCTCAGACATGTAAACACTAAGCCTTTCCATGTGTGAATTATTCCAATTTGTATAATCAATAAACATTTTAATGTATCTCTGAGCCTTTGCCTATTCATTGAGTGATGCTGACAGATTAGAATTTGAGAACAGCTACCCACTCTGAAGCTGAGGAGGAAAGATTTTAAAAACCAACATCTGAAAACTTGTTCAACATTCCAAATAAGTGAAATCAGTTAACTTCAATGTCTAGTAAGGGACTTCCTTCCTATTTCTAATTTAGCTACACTGCTTCCTGGTCCAAATAATTTGTTTATCTGTTCTTTATAAATTCGCTTTAGAACATAAAGATTTTTTTAAATGTACAGATCCTGCTACTTACAAATAACAAATAATGAATACTTTTCACCCAATTTCCCCTTTATATATACATACACATACATTTCAGGGGTGGGTTCTACTTACCTTTACTACCGGTTCACATCATGCTCTTGCCCGCGTGCTCTTCTGCGCATGCGTAGATCACTTCTGATGACGTCCGAGTTAGTGGGCGGAGCCTCCCACCGGTTTAACTACCAGTTCTTGCGAACCGGTCAGAACTGTGGGGCAACCCACCACATACATTTAGAAGAAACAAAACAAATAGGAATAATTGAATCTTGGGGGAACATATATTATATTCTTAGAAAACACGATGAAACAATGACATTTTGGCCAATTCATCCCATTCTTTCCCCTTCAGTCTTTTGGCATGTGCCATTTTTTTTCAAAGCAACGTTCTATCCACAAATTATATTGTCTTTAGACAGTAATAATCCAGGAACAGAGTTCCAGCTATCTCCTTTGGTTTCCTAGTTTTTCAAGTGGAGCCTTATTTGAGAAAATTCTTTTGAAAAGAGAATGAATTTGCCAAAATGTGGTTCTGCAATTTGGAGAATACTGAAACATATTTTTCCCAATAGGAGCCCAGGGTAACATATCCTGTAGCTTAGGCATTTGCCTGCATCTAGAGTTCTATGGGGCAATCCCTATTATTTATTTATTTATTTATTTAATGAAATTTATATACCGCCCTATCTCCAAGGACTCAGTGCGGCTCACAATGACAGTCGACCAAGCGACTGTTAAAAACAACAAATATACATAAAAATCAAGAAAGTTTTTTTTAAAAAAAATTAAAATATTATTTTATTTTATTTAAATAAAAATTTAAAATATTAACTAAAAGGATTGAAAAAGGAATCACTGTAGAGCAGAGTTCCCCAACCTTTTTGGCTTTGCAGACTGGCGGGGTGGGGGAAGGTGGGGATGGGGTGGGAAGAGGGGATGGTTCCGTGCATGGGGCGGGCAAGCGCACAAGGAACTCCATTTGCCCGAGCCTTTGCTCACGCAAATGTAATGCACGCACTCATATGAATGTGCGTGCGCACCCTCGCCATTTCGGTGGCTTAGTTTTGAAGGGCTCAAGGCCCGGTAGTGGGCAGCAGCCCAGTGATTTGGTACCCCAGCTGTAGAGCAGTGTTTCTCAACCTTGACAACTTTAAGACATCTGGACTTCCAATGGAACACTGGCTAAAGAATTCTAGGAGTTGACTTTCACACATCTTAAAGTTAATGAGGTTGAGAAACTGCTTTAGAGAAAGGGATTGGGCAGATCCATTAGGATTTCTATTTTGGATTAGTTGATCTGTTTAGTTAAAAAGTAAAATTTCAAGCTGAGTTTGACTTATAGTGCAGCGATCTCCAACTTTTCCAACTTGCTGGCCCCGGCCTGGTATGGGGGTGGGCAGTGTATGTGAGTGCACAGATCCATTTGTGCGAGCGGGCCCTCCACTCACGCATATGGAGCTTTGTGCACGAGCGGAGAATGCTTGTACTCATGTGCAAAGCTCCATTTGCGTGAGAGAAACTCCACACACGCGAGCAGAGGGCACTTGAGTGGTGGGTGTTTTGTTCAAAGCTCCATACGTGAACGGAGGGTGCTTGCACGCACATGATTGCATATGCTTATCCACTGCTCATGTGAGTGGAGCTTCATGTGTGTGAGCTTGCCCATTTCTCCTGTGGCTCGGTTTCGAACAGGCAGGGCCCGCTAGTGGCCCGGGGATTGGGGACTCCTCTTGTAGTGAGTCTTACAGCCAGTTTTGCTTCTCTTAACATTATTTTCTCACAACAGATCCCACACCAAACCTTTTGCCATATTTTGAATATCTTATTTTTTTTCCATCTCTCCATCTTTAATAATATTAAATAAAATATCTACTTGTTCTGGGGTTTTTTGCCATTTATCGATAACTTATCATTCACTTAGTTTTGCCCATCAGTCAAAACTATTTAGGTCTTGATAAATAATTTTTAGATCCATATTCCTAATTGCATCATACAATATTATTTGCTGCAAAGCATGGTTTGCATACCAATATCCTATTCTTTGAACTCTTGGGCTAATTAATTAGTTTACAGAGAACATTCTGTTAGAATCTCTTGGTTTCTACTCATCTTATTGCCAGCCTTAAAGTCTTTCTAAGAATCCCAACTTTCAGTTTTCCAAAAGACTTACTTTCTTCACAAGGCTTATTTATTTGCAGTTTCATGATCTCACTCTTTTTCACTCTCCTGCAATTTTCTACTCATTCTCTAAAATATTTAATATTTCATTTAAATTGCACTAGTATCAATCAACACACATATAATGAAATTAGTGCTTCTGTAATCATAAACAATGAAGAGAGAGAATTATAGAAATTAGAACTAATGGCAAGGAAAATGAGCATTGAACAGGTGATATCCTGGACTATTGATTGCAGTTCAAAAATCCTACTTTTGCTGTGATTTTATTCGGTGATTATCAAAGCAAGCTATACTCTCTGACTCTCCCCACTGCTCAGTTGTTCCCCACCCATCCTGGAATCAACAAAGAACAATTTTAGCATGAAGGTTGCTGCCCCTACTGCTGATCCGTATCTGTTTTCTCTCTTCCCAAGCACTGCAGTAAAATAACCTGTTTTCTCTCCAAAATAATGGATGCTCTTAGACAATGCTGAAATAAAATTATCCCAATTTCTGTAGATAAGTTCCAGGTTAGTTTGCACCCGGCACTTTCCTAGTCAGTTCTTACATTTAGAGAAGAGCAAGTGCATAGGCCACTAATGCAGCAGGCAGAGTTTTTTATTTATTTGTTAAATGTCAGCGAATATCAAAACAATTAATGGCAAAAGTGAGACAAAAAGCAGTAAAAGGCAAGAGAATAAAAAATGCAGATAGTCCTCGACTTACAACCATTTGTTTAGTGACCGTTCAAAGTTACAGCGGCACTGAAAAAAGTAAGCTATGACCATTTTTCACCCTTACAACCATTGCAGCATCCCCATGGTCACATGATCAAAATTTGGATGCTTGGCAATTGACTCATGTTTAGGATGGTTGCACATGACCCAAGGGTCATGTGATCACATTTTGCGACCTTCTGGCAAGCAAAGTCAATGGGGAAGCTAGATTCACTTAGCAACCGTGTTGCTAACAACTACAGTGATTCACTTAACAATAGTGGCAAGAAAGGTCGTAAAATGTGGCAAAACTAATTTAACAATTGCTTAGCAACAGAAATTTTGGGCTCAATGGAGATCGTAAGTCAAGGACTACCTGCGAACAAAGTCAAGAATATATACAACCTATCTTCCTACATGTCATGTCATCTCAAGATACACTTTCTGGAGCCACTGAAAACAATGCTGAAGATGATTAGCATGGTTCTTTCAGCCTTTCATGTACCCAATGGCAGCAATATGGAGTTGGGGAAATAGGATGCCAGCAGATCCTTCTATATCTATAGACAAGAAGGATATAGATCCTTCTGGTCTATATCATGAAGGAAATAATTTAGTGGGGAAGGATGATAAATCTATCTCAGCATCTACTTCTCTCCTACTATTGCAGCACCATTGAGAGTGTCCTGACATACGGCATTCTTGCATGGTATGGGAGCAGCTCTGTAGCGGACAAAAAGGCTCTACAGAGAATCATCAAAACTGTCCAGAATATCATCAGGCTCCAGCTACCATCCCTGGACGACATCTTCGAATCTCATTGTTTGAGGAAGTTGCATAACATTCTCTTCCCATCCTACTTACAATCTTTTTGGACTGTTGCCTTCTGGCAGAAGATATAGAACAATTAAAACTCGGACCACATGTTTTCTGAATAGTTTTTATCCCAGAGCTATAATTGCACTCAACAATGAACTAAAGGGCCACATCAATGAGCTGTTGGACAGCATTACTTGGTCTGTTGTGTGGATGTTTGGGTGGTTTAGGGGTGGGGAATTTGTGGTGGGTGGGGGGGTGTTTGGGGATTGTTATGTGTCTTGGACCTGGTCTTTGGGTGTTAAGTGAATTTCATTGTATGGGTATATTGTGTATACAAGTACAATGACAATAAAGTTGTTGTTATTATTATTGTTGTTGTTGTTGTTGTTGTTATTATTATTTTATTTATTCAACAGACTTTTCATATCTTTACCAGGTAATTGTACTTACCAGGTAAGTTACAAGTAAGAAGCTTCCTCTCTCTTTTTCATTCCTTTTCATTGATATTTGATATAATGATGTCAGCAACCAGGAACACACAACTTTTGGAGAGTTAATGGTAGCATGACAGCCTTGAATGGAATGCTGGAGAGCATATTCCAAAAGATAGATATTGTCAGGGCAAAATTAAACTTCATTCTGCTCCATTTTCATTAAGATGAAATTGATGCAGTCAACATTGTTTCCCATTTATTTAATAAAATTTCTCTGGTATAATAAAGATTCCAATTTAGCAGCATTTTCTGGAAGTCCCTGAGGGCGGACCTCAAGACCTGCAGTTATCTGGGGCCTATGAAACTCCAGTTTTATAAGACTGTTATAAAATTACAACTAATCTAGAATTTAGATATTAGTAAGGCCCTGCCCCACCTTCAGAAGTTCTTGTTACCTTGTTTCTTTCACTAATCTTATATTTTTCTTAGATCTTCTAAGATCTAAGGCAGTGTTTCTCAACCTTGGAAGCTTGAAGATGGGTGGACTTTAACTCCCAGAATCCCCCAACCAGCATAGAATCATAGGACTGAAAGGGACTTCGGAGGTCTTCTAGTCTAAACCCCTGCTCAAGGCAGGGGACCTTATGCCATCCCAGGCAAATGGTTATTCAGTCTATTTTTGAAAACCTCCAGTGATGGGAGCACCCACAACTCCAGAAGACAAGCTATTCCATTGATTAATTGTTCTCATTGTCAGAAAGTTTCTCTTTACTTCTAGGTTGGATCTCTCTTTAACAACCTTCTACCCTTTACTTCTTGTCCTGCCTTCTGGTGCTTTGGAGAATAAATCAATTCCTTCTTCTCTCTGACAGCCCCTCAGGTACTGGAAGGCAGTTATTATGTCCCACCCCAACCATCCTTCTCTTCCATAGGGCTAGCAGGGTTTTGTTTTTATTTTTTTACATTTTAACTCTGTACTATAATGTATGATTGTACATAAATAATGAAATAAATAAAATTACTGCAGTCCTATTTCCATTTACTGCTTCGGAGTAATCTCTTTCAAACGTGGGAGTGAAT